CCTCCATGCAGAGTCGTGTTACAGTATTACTACATTGACACATCTGTAAACTGGACAGAATGAAGGCTGGACTTCCTGTGAAGCTAGATCCACATTGTCCTATGGGATAGATCAGGCCAAGAACCTGCTCAGCCTTCTCAATCTACTACATAGCCCCTGTATCATTTCTTTTTGCGGTGATGAAACAATAAACAGACTGGAATGGACTTTAACATCAAGGTCAAACAGCAACCACTCAACACAGAAGTTATCACTCCTCAGGCTAAATTCTGGTGTGTCCTTTTCATTACACTTCACATTCTAAAGTAACTAAGTCTGAGGGATGTTTAAGAGACAAAACTACCAACAGTGAGGAGCAGAAACAGGGTTTTACAACAAACAGTCTAATAATATAAAGAAAAAATACGTAAATAATTGGTCTGGGGGGGAGGGAAAGTGGGAGAAAACCCTGTACTCCTTCTGAAAGAACAGTATAAAATAATATTATCTATTTAATATTTGTAAGCTGTTCTCTATTTATGTATCTTATCAAGAAATGTTTAGTCGCTAAGTCATGTCCGACTCCTTGTGACCCCATGGACCGCAGCCTGCCAGGTTCCTCCATCCATGGGATTTCCCAGGCAAGAATACTGGAGTGGGTTGTCAGTTCCTTCTCCAGGGGACCTTCCCATTGGCAGGGGGATTCTTTGCCACTGAGTCACCAAAGAAGCCCCATAGGAAATGTCTAAAGAGCTTTAAAATATGTCAGTTATACATATGCATATCACTTAGGTATCATACACACATGAAACATATTAATAATAAGCAGCAAAAGAAAAATACACAACTTTAAATAAACTATTTGCCAAATTATTCTCTAAATGGGTAACTAGTGCCTAAAATTTTTAAAGGAGAATATTGGCCTAGCTGAGTCAATGATGAAACACTAATAATATAAGGAGATTGAAGTGGTCACCCAAATCTTCAGAATAATGTTAATCCTAGAAAATATTTTAATCATATAATCTAACATCTTAAAAGTGAGAGTCTCTTCCTCTACAAATCTAAGAATTTGTGCTGTTACATCTCAAAAAGTAAGGAATGTCTATAAAGTCAGATTAAGCTAATAATCCTAAAAATAAGATCTCTCAGTCTAGTATATAAGGAACTGAAGAAGGGAGAGAATAATAATGTTCAAACAGGTCAATGATCAATGACCATTTGCAGAAGAAATATAATGAAATAAAAGTTTATGGGAGCTTAAATAGAAAAAGCAAACCTCACAGATACATATTTGAACCATGACAGGCAATATAGCTATGGTGACTTAAGGTGATCACAGTAGGCAGCAGGTATAAGTCAGAACCCCAGGAAGCACAACAGGGGAAGGCATGTATAAATGAACACTCCCTGACCCTCAGCATCATTCCAACATGTGCCACGAGCCAAGTTCCAAGTGCTCTATGGCGACACGTGGCCAGTGGCTACCATAATTGGACAGAGCAGGACTGAAGGAGAAAGAGCAGTGTTGAGAGGTTGGGGAGGATAAATTTCCTGAGATCCATTCCATGCCCTATGAATCACAAAATTTTAGGGCATCAGAACAGTCACTGGAGTCTTCATTATTTTAACTAAATGTATTTGAATTTATGATCTACAAATATGGATTAAGTTAGAAAAAACAGAAATACAAAAAAAATTAATGAAGAATCAATCAGAATAATGCCAGAAATTTTTTCAGTTGACTATAAAGATCTTTATGAAATTATTTTTAAAGTTCAAATGAAAAATCTCTATTCAGAAACATCAACAGACTCAGTTTAAAGAATGGATGAGAAGGGAAATCATAATGAGTATTAACAGCAGCAACTATTAGTGCCTATCACAATGTAACTGCCTCTAAAAGTAGCTTCAAAAGAGAAAACACTTTTCTTTGAAAGGTGGTAGCTTTCTTCTTTACACAATCCCACTGATTTGAGTCCTAACAAAGACTCACAGTGACCTCAAAGCTCAAACCATAAGCTTCCAGGTCAGGTAAGAATGATCGTCACATAGCTCTGCTAAACTCACTCCTTTGCAAAAGAGATGGTTATACTCTTGTTGTTTCAATGATTAATAATCTTTGACGCTGATTAATCTGGAATTCATCCACAGCTTCTACTCACTTATAGTAGAGACATAGAATCAATGAACCTCCTTTTCCTATATAACTTGGGACCTTCTTGTATCCAGAGAAGCAAAGAAATGTTAAAACATATGTTCATATAAGAGCTGATACAGTTGATCTTCCATTGTCAAGCAGAAATCATGCTTTCCTTGTCACCAAAATTACAAAGGCTAATCTATTTAAGTCTTAAGTTTGTGTTTGTTAGTTGCTGAGTCATCTCTGACTCTTTGCGACCCCATGGACTGTAGCCCGCCAGGTTCCTCTGTCTATGGAATTCTCTAGGCAAGGATATTGAAGTGGGTAGCCATTCCCTTCTCCAAGGGATCTTAAGTTTACATAAAGCCAACCTCTGGCTTTTCATTAAAAAAAAAAATTTAAAGGCAATTATACCAAGAATTACACAAATTGCACCAGCTGTCAGACACATTGGCAGCCTACAAATGCCCCTTAAAACAGCAGATAAAACATTGTCATTTCAGGACTCATTCTTCACAGTACACCCTGAGTCACAAAATAACTCCATAAATGCAGTATTCATAGAGGTCACAAGAAACAAGTATTGCCATGGTATCTTGAACATGGCAGGAAACAGATGAATATTTGTAGCATTAATGATACTACAACATTTAAAAATCCACTGGATAGGTTAGCAGATAGGAAATACAAATACAAATATAATAAGAACAAATAACAAAGGAAAAATCTTAATGGGAGATATTAATTTTTTATATTTGTTCTGGTAATGCTGAGTTAAAACAAAAATAACCTCCATTAACTTAAACCATTTCCATTTTACATCAGAAACAGCATTTTTTTTTACTTGCTTTTGCTCTGGGCTTCTCACAAAAGCAATGAGCTTTTTTTTTTTAATTTAAAAAAAAAAATGCTACCAAAGCTCTCCTAAGGAATTTGGAAACTTTTTTCCCAAGTAATATTTAAAGAAATTGTTGAACAGATTTTCCAATACTAATTGTAATGGCAGTTAATTTATTTCCTCTTTGGTCCTCACATAAAGTTTTATAATTCATATTAATAGCATGTGAGGAAATCTACCACCTATATTATCTGAAAGGGTGGTATTCTGACTAGAGTTGAATTCATCATTTTCCATTGGAAATACATCCTCAGTATTGGCCAAGAATTAGTACGGTGAAGAAAATAAGATCAAATACTTGCTGAATACAGGCTCTTAGGCGTGCGTGCATGTGTGCAAAGTCGTTTCTGTCTTGTCCAATTCTTTGCGACCCTATGGACTATAGCCCACCAGGCTCCGCTGTCCATGGGATTCTCCAGGCAAGATATACTGGAGCTGGGTTGCCAAGCCCTCCTCCAGGGGATCTTCCCAACCGACAGATCGAATCCACATCTCTTATGTCTCCTGCATTGGCAGGTGGGTGCTTTACCACTAGCACCACCTGGGAAGTCCACAGCCTCTTATAACAGGAAATAAACATCAAGGCGCAAATTCACAACGTGAGCTCATGTCAGTGCTAAACACTGAATAAATCCAAACTTGTTTGAATCTCCATGCTTCTTTCATTTTACATCAGAGACCACAGGCTCAGCCAATACTTCAGTTTTGATACTGTAATCTGTATATAAAATTATAACTATTACAACAACTCATATTCACACAGCCTTTCAATTTACAAAAAAGCTACCACGCACGTTATTCCATTGAGCCCTCACAAATGCCAAGCTCTGTGTTGCTATCTCCATTGGGGAAACTGAGTCCTAAAAAGGGTGGATGACTTGCTCCATGTTGAGGAACTATTAACTAACAGAGCAGGGCTCCTGCCTGTCAGTCTGGGGCTGTTTCTGTTCAACTGCAGAGGCTTCCAAGGACAAGATATTCTTCATAACAAAAATAAGACAAAATTCTGATTCATCGATTCATAAATTGTTTTTTGTCTCTCTGTATGCAATATTGTCCTGAGCCTCTGCATATACATATTGGAGAGCTGGGGTGGGGGTGCAGGGGTGGAGGCAGTGGTGATTGTAAAATAAAACACACATTAAGTGGGAATGGTTTGGATTAAACATTTTAACATTGGTTGCTGAAAATAAATACCTAAGACACTGACCTACAATTATAAAACTGAAAGTGACCTTGGAAGTCATCTGTTCTTTTTCCATTTCACAAATGAGGAAAATACAGTGATGGAGAGAGCACGACACTCCCTAAAGGTCACCCTGGTAACTGCTGACAGCAGACCCAGCACCATACAGAGTCGGGCTCTCTTTCACTCTATGCCCTGATTGTGTCTGCAAATTAAAGGATAAGCACAGTCCAGATATTTACAAGGAAACATCACAGTGCTAGAAAGATTAGAAAACTAGACCTTACACACCAACATTATGAGTGTAAAAATTATTGATATTTTATATATCATTTAAAGCAGCAGGAACTTTATAAGAAAAATAATCAATGTATATTTTTTAGCTCTCATGATTAAGGTTGAGGATAATCTAAAATATAAATTTTCCCTTTAGATACACAGAGTTTTTTGAATTTTGTTATAATAATGACAGATTTAAGTACATTCAAAAACAGGATAGTCTCTCAAATGTCACCACTTTTAACTTATATGAAGAATAAAAAACAATAACAACATCTCATCTTTTCTAGATACAGGTCTTTCAACCAATTACCTATGTTACCTGTCCTGTTCACACCCATTACTTGTCTTTTTCAGGAGTTTTCTGAAAATGATTAAGCTATTTTTGAATGTAGGTTTTTCTTATTTTGTTTCTGAAACTTAAATTCTAGGCAACAAACTCTCTGAAATTTAACTGCCCAACAAATCTAAATATGGCTCAGGTTATAAGCCATTTACTACTTACATGATATTCATTTCCACATTTAAAAAAATAAATAATCTATTTAGACTTTATTGTACCTGTGAGTCCTTTAAAAGACTTCTTCACTCTCCAAATTAATAAATTCCTTTTGAAGATGCAAAATATAAGAGTTTTCAAAATATTACTGACCATCATTCCATAGAGAAAAAAAAAACACTTAAGTAGACCAAGAGTAAACCACACAAATTATAGAAAACATTGACAGCAAAATTAGTTTTCTGTCTCTCATTCACAAGATCATTTTTTCACTTTAATACAAGGCCTAATCTACAGTAGACACCAGTACAAATTGAGAGAAAAATCCATCCTTCATGTTCTGATCAATCTGAAGATGATTTTTTCCAGAGGTGAAGAGCTGCCTGAATTCTGAAGTGTAGTCTGGACTCCAGTGAGTAATCTTTGTAGTTATTTCTAAAGACAGATAACAATAAAATTTTAATGTCAAAATTCCTTTATAAACCAGGGCACTACCACCCTATTCCCCTCCCTCTCAGCTTCATTCTTTATCTACTCTCAAACATCACTATGCATAACAGTGGATTTTGTTAAAATGAAGATTCTATTCCTGGGAAGAGAGGGGGATGACAATATTCTGTATTTCTAGAAGTTTCCAGGTGGTGGTCTAAAAATCCTACTTTGAATAGCAAGGTTTGTACTTCTCCCAAACAGCAAGAAGGTTATGCTGAGGGCTTAAAAAATTTTATGAACTATTTTTAAATAGCTGACCTCCTTTTCTAAACTGGAAATTTTAGACAACCTCATATAAACAAGGTGAAGAGGATCATTCACCCCCTCAAAAAAAATTTAAGTTAAATACACACACACACACTCATGAAACAACAGTGACAACAAAGATAGTAGGATTATTTGGTAACAACAAAATTACTTACTCCAATTCTCACAGGCAAATATCAATGGTTTGGTCAATAACTATTATGTGACAATGTCAGGAGGGGAATTAGAAATCCACAGATTACTTTAAAACTTCACTTATATCAACCACGTTGACTTGTCTTTGCTAGAATTGTTCAGACTCAGTAAAATGGAGTGGCTTGGATCTTGGGCTCTATGTTCATACACACAACCTTGGCCCATGGGAAAGCTATATCTTTCTCTGCCGTGGCATTCACTTCTTTCTACAGTCCTTTATGTTATACAGGTCTAAGGATTACTTACTAGTAACCTTGCTAAGAGTTATTATTCATAAGCTAAGCCAACATCTTATAGAATTTACCAAAAGATGTAATTGAGTATTTCCCTAATTAACCTCAGCAGCTTTGCAAAAGCTCCTACTGTACAAGGAAAACTGCAGATAATCAACAGTCTTGAAATTATTGGGAAGTTTGTCTATGTTGGCATCACTAGCACTGTCTTGAGTTAGTGTTGACTTTTTGATCACTGCTGGTCTTGTTTTTTCTCAGTGAATTACTGGTCTTTTATTTTCATTGCTATATATTTCCTTTATATATTACTCGAAAGTGAAAGTTGCTCAGTCGTGTCCGACTCTCTGCAACCCCATGGACTGTAGCCTGCCAGGCTCCTCTGTCCACGAAATTCTCCAGGCCAGAATACTGGAGTGGGTAGCCATTCCCTTCTCCAGGTGATTTTCTCAACCCAGGTATCAAACCCAGGACTCCCGGATTGCAGGCGGATTCTTTAGCATCTGATAACACTAAATATGTCCACATGATAAATACTCAGAAACAGAACTTTTAGTCCCAAATTTTCCAATGGCTAGATTTGAAGATACACGAACGTTAGCTGAAATGGGAGTCATACTCACTCTCAAGAAACTAAAAGTGACTTTCTCATATCTCTAGCTTAAAAAAATAAAAAAGTGGAATGGCTGACTCCACTTTCTCACTTCACTTGTCAAGCTGCTGATGATCTTCATGCTGCCAAATTCAGCAGCCACTTCTCTGGTCTCACCTTGCGTGACCTCTTGGCAACCATCTTCACAAATTCCCACTCTTCTTTTGAAACATTGTGTTTACTTGGCTTTCAAGGATGTCATCCTAACTCATAGCCACTTCTTAATCTTACTATTTAATCTCTAAAATAATTGCATAGCTCAAGGCCCTGTGCTGGATCTCCTTCTCTAGCCATACAACTTTCCCCAAATGACCCCACCACAGCTTTAAATATCACTGTCTCTGTCCTGGTGACATTCAAATATCTACAACTGGCCTTAACCTTTACACTGAACTACATGCTCATATAAATGACTGTTAACTCACCATCTCCACATGAATACCTATAGGCACCTCAAAATAACACAGTCCAAACAGAAGTATGTTTTTTTCCTTTCTTCAACCCTGCTCCTCTAAGTATTCCCCATTTCAGTAAAGCATCATTATCACCCTAGTATCTTGACACCCTCCCCCTCCTATCCCCAGCCAGGAATGCTCCTCATCCAGTCTTCTGGTGACAGATCTTCTCAGGACTGGCTTTAATGATGCTAATCTCAACAACATAGTACCTCCTCAAGGAAACCTTTCAGAATCAACTCAATCTAAAGTAACACCCAGGTACCTTGTATCATATCATAAATCTCAACAAAGCATAAATCATTGCTATTTTTCTTATCTGTGTATTTACCAATACCCCACAATTTAGAAAGCAGAAATATTGCCTGTTGATGCATAGTTGTTTGCCTAGAACCTTCTCTAGCATTTGGCACATAATAGGTACTCAGTGAATACTCACTTAATTTAAGGAAATGAACAAACCAATGAGTTATTAAGCCATTTATGGCCTAGAGCTATCATGGCATTCTTTCTCCACTGTAAGTAGTGTTCAAAGCAAGCAGACCACAGGGTTTGTGTCTGCAGTAAACGAACCATGATCACAGGAAATCTGAGCGCCACTGTCCACCAGGATTGATAAAGTGCTTTGAAATTGCCACAATACCCAGAAAGAAGAAAGAGTCAGGAAGATTCAAAGGGCCTCTTCAAATCAGAGGCTTTTTAATGAAATGAGAGAGATGGTGGAATATACCAAAGGTCAGCAAACTATAACCAAAATTATGGCCAACTCTGGGCACACATATTTATTTACATATTGCCTTCTATGGCCACTTTCAATACAATTGAGTACTTACAATGGAGACCCTCTACTGAAAAGCCAGAAGTACTAACTGGCCCTTTATAGAAAAAGTTTTCTGATCCCCGATACAGAAGAGAATAGGTTAGAACTCTGTCCTGTAGGTACCCCCAAATCACAACATTTGTAAACAGTCACAGGGTCAGGCATTAAGAAGGTTGAAAATTGCACAATTCCAACAAAAGCCACAAGCAGAAATTAAGCATAAATTAGCAAAGTAATATAATGACTTTTTCATTAATGTGTTTGTTTTTAAGTGTATCAAGTTACTGCTGTTGTAAAAACAGTATTGATATTCCTGACTCCATAGCAATGGAGGAAAAGCTACCATTACCACTTACCTTGCAGTTTCTAGGACCTTTATGGCCTTGTCAATTTCTCCTTGGTTTTTATACAAAAATGCCAGTTCAAACAGAGTAAATGGCACCAGGTAGTGGTCATACTTCAGTAGCTTTTCACTAAAAGAGTGAATGAAAAGTAATTAAATCTAAACAGAAGAAGGAACATATCATTCTTTTTCAACATATATATTTTTCCCCATTCTTATGAAAATAGGTACAGCACTAAGTCTATTACCAGAGAAAAGCTATCATTATACAGTTGAAGAATATAATAAACCATGGCAATAATCAGTATGCTTTTATTTTTTATTTATTTATTTTTAACAGTATGCTTTTAATATATTACTTTTTTTTTTGGTCTCACTGTATGGGATACAGGATCTTAGTTCCCCAATCAGGGATTGAACTCACGCCCCCTGCAGTGGAAGCATAAAGTCCTAACCACTGGAACACCAGGGATTTCCTCTATTACTCTTTTATTTTATTCCATGGTCTAAATTCAGCACTGAACATTGTTTACTGCCTTTCACATAGACAAAAACATGCAGATTTTTGAAGATTATCCTAGAAAGGACAAGATCATGAACATGTTCAGAAATGACTCCATTTAGAAAATGACTCCACTTATTTTTCACTAAGGTTTAACACTCTTTACACTGTTTGTCTTATAATGCTTCAAAACGTAAAGAAAGAAGGGGCCAACACTTCCGCTTACAGCAGTATGATGAAAATCACCTGACTTCCCAACATCTAGAAGCACTAAAACAAGTAAGAGCAACACCCTTTTAAAAGGAGAGCTCAGCTCACAAGAACACAGGGAGGACTCTCAAACTGAAAACAAAGCCAGAACTCTAATCGTGTCGATGATGCCAAAGCACTCCTGGGTCTGTTTCAGCCAAGGCTTTGTGTCTCTATGTCGACACAGGAAGTAAGACCTTGGGCCCACATAATACGTACAGCAGGGGCTGAGACCACTCCAAAAAGCTGGGGCCCAGCTCCATCAGAGAAAGGGTAGAAGATGAAAACCCACTCATGGCACAGGAGGAAGACAAGGGCAATGGACTCTGTGGCCCATACTCTGGGCTCAGCTGCTTCAGTCGTGTCTGACTCTTTGCGACCCTATGGACTATAAACCATCAGGCTCCTCCACTCATGGGATTCTCCAGGCAAGAATACTGGAGTGGGTTGCGTGCCCTCCTCCAGGGGATCTTCCCTACCCAGGGATCAAACCTGCATCTCTTATGTCTTCTGCATTGGCAGGTGGGTTCTTAACCACTAGTGCCTTGTGGGAAGACTGGCCTACTCTCTAGGCAGGAAGAAAAAGCAAATCCCTTAAGAAATTAATAATCAATGGGTCTGTCCTCACCTGAATTTGCAATTCAAATTTATGTGGCCCAAATGACCCAAGAAGCTCTAAGCAATGAAATTAACATGAAAATGGCCCAGGGTGAGAAAACCCTTTGGGGCATCTGGCAGAAATAAAAGCACAAGCGCTTAGAAAGAGACTCTTCCTCAATCCTAGCCTCACTGGAGTCTCAAGATAAAACTCATTGAAGCTGAGTTCACAATCCAAAACTATAAAACACACCAGCAAACTATCCACTATGAGATGCAAAAGACACAACAAATAGCCCAAATAGGTCATCCTTTAAATCCTAATAAAAAGGTCAATAAAAGAGAGCTCAATGGATACTTCTTTAACATATTTACTAAAGACAGCATATTATTAATTTGAGAAATAGACATTGTCTCTTTCCTCTTCTTATAAGGACAGCAGTCCTCCTACATACTCAGAAAATATGGTCTGAAAAAGAGGATCAGTAGTTACAGATGGGAAAGCACATGATATCGAACAGAAGACGTCAAGGAGAAGTCCGTGGCTGTGACTTATTTGGTATACAAAATGGTTTCCAAAAAATTGAGCCAAGGTTTAAAAATCAGATGTTACATAAAATTCAGATTCCAGGCTTTCAATCATAAATTGTAGGGATTATTACTAGTGGGTCCACACTGTCAAGAGTAATAATCAATTTGAGTTCAGGAGTGGCAGTACTCTTTAGAGAGACCACACAATCTCCCTGATCTGCAGTGCCCACCAATCCCCATCCCCACCATCACTCAGAAAGGTTACTTGTCTGGCCCCTGTAGATAACTGCATCTGCAACTCCAGATGCAGAGAAGAGGGCCAGACAACAGAACCCTGACTCAACTCACTAATTAGCAAAGGAGCAGGGCATCATCATCAATGCTACTGAGGGGATAAAACTCATTCATCTACAGAAAAATGCCCCTTGCCAAAAGAGAAGCTGTTACAGCATTCATCACAGTTGTTCTTTCCTACCAAATTTTCATTACAATGATGGTTAGTCTGTTTATTCAACTCTGAAACCCTAGGATTTGGGTTCACAGTTTCTGGCACATAGTAGGTACTCAAATATTGGTAGAATAAATGAATAATGGACAAATGCACAAATCAAAAAAGTATCAGGTGCTCAGTATGACAGTGCCAGTATTTAGACAGACACCTGTCAGCTTGGCTGTAAATTTAGCTTTCGTGAGTCACCTCTGAATACCAGGTGGAAAGGCATAAAGCCATGTTCACTTAGGTTATCATTTTTTTCTCAAAGAATAAAGAAAACATGACCGAATTCTCTTTCTGATAACACCAAGTAAAAAAAAGTTAGCAATGGAGATAAAAGCATCACTTTCTCACAGCAATTCCCCAGAAACTGCAATTTGCACTCAAGCTGGTTTCATTGTCTGCTTTTACCTTTGGACAACGTGATTGAAGCACAATTCTGCTTGCAAGGGCCGCTGTAAGTTCTTCAGGCAGCATCCTTTTAGCAGTTTCACTAGGCAGTCGTCATCTACGGAGTAGTCACTAGGGTCTTAAAGCAAAACACATACAGTTCACTCACAAAAACAAAAATACCCTACTTAAGAGGCAGCACTAACAGCTGTTAGGTTTCAGAGGGATCATTTAAAAATTAAAAAAATAAATATGTTTAGCATTTCTATGCCTCACTAAATTCAGGGAAATACTTCAAATAAAAAGAATATCGAGTTTAATACTTCAACACACCATTTGATTAAGGGGTTCACTCTAGTCTTTTTTCACTTTATCACTCTAGCCACCTAAAAAAATTTTTTAGGTGCTCACCTCTGAGTTAAGTGACCTTAGGTAAAATAATAGGAAGTTTGAACTGTAAATAAAGTAAGAGCTTTATTAATTTAATGAAAGGTAAAGCAGTGAGGATCAAGCAGGCAGCCTCTTCCTGTGGCTCTGGCCCCTTACTGGGCTGGCTTCCTGCAGAAGAGGGTAACGCTTCCATGTGGAGAAGCAGATGGCCTTCTCCCCATTAAAAATTCAGGACGGAGAACACCCTCCCCAGATCATTATGTTTACAGCTTACCAGTTCTCCCAGGTTAGGTGCTTTGGGGGATGAAATTATATCATAAAATTAGACAAAGTGGTTCTGAAATACGTGTAAGGCACCTAAAATCCCCACAAACTTCTAACTGCATGAGGCTAACATAGAGGATCTTCTTTCAGGACATTTTTTGCTTTTGAAAACAACTCTACCTTCTACAGCCCAAGGCTAATACATATTAACAGAAGGAACCATATCGTGTGTGACATCTATCTGACAAAGGTGGCCATTTTGCATCTACCACTTTTGAATTTGGGTTTTTCTTTTTTGCAAGTTAAGTAGAAATAAGAAGTCATTCCAAGACAGACTGATAATTTATACATTTCAGGCTGTGACAACTCAGGTGGGAAGGGACAAAAAACCAAAATGATGAGGCTCTGAGAGTCCTTCATACTGAAATACTCTTGCTTTCAGGACAAATGTCAGAAATCACCATTAACGCATGCTGGTGTTTTAATCAGTAAACAGCTTGTCTATGGGATGTTAAGGATGCTACTTAACCAAGTCAAAGAAGGTTGCTTTATTTCTAGGTACTGAAAATAGCTGATAATCACCTCTCACTTCCAAGATCTGACAAGTTATTCACTATGAAAATCACAAATATCAATACTACATTACCTTCCCTATTAAAGACCATTCCCCCCCAGCTCAAAAATTTCTATTTATGCTTCTAATCAACAAACCAGATTGGGGCTATGTTTAGGATCTGCGGCTGATTGAATCTGTGAATGAGGAATCTGTGGATACAGAGGGCAGAGTATGGAACTTGAGCATCCAAAGACTGTGGTATCCACAGTGAGTGTTGGAATCAATTCCACGTGGAAAATAAGGGTCTTACTCAATGGTGGTATGTATTAGTCTATACTACAAAGGATAGACATTCAAACATTAGAATTTATTCTATTGAACTAAAACCCTCATCTTTGTAGGAAAACAGAAGCAAGCTAGCCTACTCCTTTGGAGGAACAAATACTCTACACATGTTTTCACTTAATTAAAAAAAAAGGTTTTTCTTTACCTCCCATTTCTCACATATACACTTACTTTAAAACATATTCATTTTTTCATCTAATTTGCAAATATGTGCCATTTAATCACAAATAATTCCCTTGATGACAGGAACAATGTTTTTTCTACTATCACAATGCTATACCTGGTATGAAAAATAAGTGTTCAAAGGAACAAATTAATGAAAAGTGGCCAAATTAGTTCCACAAAAATTAATACTAGTAAACTTGTTTAAAACCCTTAATAGATTTTACTGAACTGCAATTTCTGAAACCCATTTTTTAAAGTAAGTTTTTATGGAGTCTTATCTCAGTTAAATTTTAAAATGATGTGGCATTACGTTGAATTTCCACTCAAATCAAAGTAAATATTTTTCCTTTTGAAATTATTCTATATTAAAAATTGTAAAAAAAAACAAACTTACATCCATTAGCATGCCTACTACCAAAAAACAAACAAAACAGATAAAGAAAAGAAAATGACTAGCATTGTCAAGGATGGAGAGAAATGGAAACCTGTGTGCATTGTTGGTGGGAATGAATGGTACAGCCACTAGAGAAAACAGTATGTCAGTTCCTAAAAAAATTAAAAATAGAAATGTTACATGATCCAGCAAATCCACCTTGAGGCATATATCTAAAAGAACTGAAAGCAGCATCTGAATGAAATATTTGCATATACATGTTCATAGAAGTATTGTTCACAGTTGTCAAAAGTGGAAGCAACCCAAATATACATTGATGGATGAATAGATAAAATTTGGTATAAACATCCAGCGGAATATTATGCAGCCTTAAAAATGAAGGCAATTCTGACACATGCTGCAACACGGATGTACCTGGAGGACATTAGGATAAGGGAAATATTAAGCAGCACAAAAAGAAAAAGACTGCACGATTCCATCTATATAAAGTCTCTAGAGTAGTCAAATTCACAGTAATAAAGAGCAAAATGGTGATTGCCAACCACTGTGAAGAGCGGGAAATGGGGAGTTACTGTTTAAGGGGTATGAAAAAGTTCTCAAAACTGGCTGCACAACTGAGTGAATATACTTAGCACTACTGGACCATACAGTTTAAAAAATGGTTAATATGGCAAATTTTATATTATATGCATTTTCCTACAATTAAAAATGTAGAAGATAATGTAAAAATGTAAAGAGGTTTATTTTATCTATAATAAAGATTAAAAATTTATATAAAATTTTATATCTAAATTATAATTTAGATATACAATTATAAAATCTATATAATAATATAATAGATCTAAAATTTTTACATCTATATCTATAATTATAGCTAATTAATAGATGTTTAATTAATTAAAAGTTAATTAATAGATGCTTACCCCTTGGATGAAAAGTTTTGACCAACCTAGACAGCATGTTTAAAAGCAGAGACATTACTTTGCCAACAAAGGTCCGTCTAGTCAAGGCTATGGTTTTTCCAGTGGTCATGTATGGATGTGAGAGTTGGACTATAAAGAAAGCTGAGCGCCGAAGAATTGATGCTTTTGAACTGTGGTGTTGGAGAAGACTCTTGAGAGTCCCTTGGACTGCAAGGAGATCCAACCAGTCCATCCTAAAGGAGATCAGTCCTGGGTGTTCATTGGAAGGACTGATGTTGAAGCTGAAACTCCAATACTTTGGCCACCTGATGTGAAGAGGTGACTCATCTGAAAAGACCCTGATGCTGGGAAAAATGAGGGCAGGAGGAGAAGGGGACGACACAGGATGAGATGGCCGGATGGCATCACCAACTCAATGGACACGAGTTTGGATAAACTCCAGGAGTTGATGATGGACAGGGTGGCCTGGCATGGTACAGTCCATGGGTCACAAAGAGTTGGACACGACTGAGTGACTGAACTGAACTATTGATGGGAATCTAAAGTTAGAATAATTTCAAATATGGAAAGTAATGTGTACAAATATCAAACCATTACACTGTACATCCAAAACTAATATAGTGTTATATGTCAATTATATCTCAATGACAGAAAAGGTTATGATATAATAAATAAAAAATATAGGCTAGAGTATGTCCAGATACACTATGATCATAACTATAAAAATAAATCTGGGAGGGCATAAACAGAAACTCTAAATTAATTGTGCATAGTAGGAAAAACACGGGTGACTTTTTTCACCTACATTTTTCAAATGTAATGTTTAATTTATCTCATTAAACATTTCAGCCCCATGCTGTGGCCAAAGTAAAAAATGATCTAAATGAGGTGCTCATCCCTGGAGTCACAGACGATAATTTAATCCTCCGTGTGGGGAGTATAGGACATGCAGCCAGTACCCCTTCAGTGCCTGTTTTCCTCAAGTTAAGAAAAGTGAGTTAACTGTGAGAATTTTTCCTGTCTATTCGTGAATTTCTATGCCTTTTACAATGTTTATCACCCTAGAAATTTTGGTTTTACTCCTGTGGTTCCAGAGGATAAGACCATTGTCTTGGAGTAACATCTAAATGATTTGAGGGTTGATAAGGGTACAATTAAAAGACACTTACTCCTTGGAAGGAAAGTTATGACCAACCTAGATAGCATATTAAAAAGCAGAGACATTACTTTGCCAACAAAGGTCCATCTAGTCAAGGCTATGGTTTTCCAGTGGTCATGCATGGATGTGAGAGTTGGACTATAAAGAGGGCTGAGCAAAGAAGAATTGATGCTTTTGAACTGTGGTGTTGGAGAAGACTCTTGAAAGTCCCTTGGACTGCAAGGAGATCCAACCAGTCCATCCTAAGGGAGATCAGTCCTGGGTGTTCACTGGAAGGACTGATTTTGAAGCTGAAACTCCAGTATTTTGGCCATCTGATGCGAAGAGCTGACTCATTTGAAAAGACCCTGCTGTTGGGAAAGATTGAAGGCAGGAGGAGAAGGGGACAACAGAGGATAAGATGGTTGGATGGCATCACCGACTCAATGGACATGAGTTTGGGTAAACTCCAGGAGTCGGTGATGGACAGGGAGGCCTGGCGTGCTCTGGTTCATGGGATCGCAAAGAGTCAGGCACGACTGAGTGACTGAACTAACTAACTAAGGATACAGTAAAAGCTATCACTTATGGCATTGTTAGCAAAAAGATAAAGCCTCTATTCATGACAGAGAACTAGAAAATGTCACAGCAAGAAAACCCTGGGTTTCATTTTAAAAGAACCCAAAGGCCCTCTTGGTTATGGACAAGTTATGTTTCCAACAGACTCACAGCTGCAGAGCTGGGACACTAAGCCCAAATCAGCTGACTTTCCTCCTACTACGGCAGCTGCTTCCAGTATAAGGAGCATCCAGTAAAGTGGAGAAGGGCTCCCAGTACAACCGGAAGTAATAAGCAAAAAAATCAAATTGTAACAAGATTTCAACTTGAAAACAAATAATTCTCTGGGTCAATAGTCATTATCGAGCAATAAAGGAGGCATGGAAAAAGTTAAAACCAACTAAAACCAGAAGTACACACCACTCTCCTTGTACTGCTCTAAAATTAAAACTGTCTTCTTCATCTTTTTCTTTTTTTGTAACAGCTTTAAGGTAAAATTCCCATAACATACAATTCACCCATGTAAAGTGTACAATTCACTGGTTTTGAGTATATTACAGTGACGTGCACCATCATCAGAATCAACTTTAGAACATTTTCAACACCTCCAAAAAGAAATATCATACTCCAGGATGAATTGAGAGTAGTAATAACAGATATCACTACCATGTGTAAAACAGATAGCTGGTGGGAATGTGCTATTTAGCACAGGGAGTTCAGCACAGCGCTCTGTGTCAGCCTAGAGGGGTAAGACGGGGGCATGGGAGGGAGATCCAAGGAGGGGATATATGTATGCATAGAGTTGATTCATGCTGTTGTACCGCAGAAATTAACATGACATTGTGAAGCAATGACACTCCAATTAAAAGATAACAAATTTTTAAAAAATAAGCAATCATGAAAAGAAGAAATGCCACACCCTTGAGTGATCACACACCCCCAGTTCTCCACCCCTTGGCAGCCACTAATCTGCTGTCTTTATGGACTGATTTATCCTCGATATTTTATATAAACGGAATCACACACTCTGTTGTCTTGCCTCCGGCTTCTTTCATGGAGCCTCACGTCCCCAGCGCTCATCCCTGTTGTATCAGGCTTCTTCCCCCTATCTTGACTGCAATCAACCGGACACCTGCGGCTCAAGCTCTTTTGTCCTCATCACGCACACAGATCAACATGAGCGGATGTGATCGGGGCAAGGACGGAAGGGGCGGCCGTAAAGATTTCCAGGCTCTCGCTTTTCATACTTACTCTCACTTTGTAGAGCTGCCTCGGCCTTTTCCACAGTTACCAACAGATTTTCAGAAAGGTCTTTTCTTTTACTCACTAGTGGAAAACCATTCCAAACATACATCATTTCCTAATGAGGAAAAATGAGAAACCATTCACAGTTATGTGAGGTCATTCGGTGTACTTTACAACAAAGCTAAGTGTGAATGTTTTGCCGCAGTTGCTAGTGCTCTCAAGACATTGAGAGATCATTTTTCTTAGCTTTCTTCATTTGGAGTTTAGTGATTTAATCTCCCCATTTTCAATTTATTTAATGCTTTTAATGCTTTTTGCCTTTTATACTACAAAATAGTTCAGTGTATATTGTTTATTGTGTCTTCACTGAAAAATTAATTTACTCATTTAAGAAGTATTTACTAAGCACCTACTGGTATCCAATCCTTCTAGAAGGTAATAAGATTACAGATAGAAATAAATATAATATTTTAAAAAGATATTATGAACAATTCAAACAAATTTCTGTTGTTACTCTTAAGTAAAGGGAAACATTTTTTCTATATCTGCCAATTGTTTACATAAAATGTTTCCAAGGACATCACTGCAGATGAACATAGGAAATATTTTACCTGGCTCAGGTTCTTTTATACCATTAAAAACATGTGGTAGTCCAGTAATGCAATCCAATATGCAGAAAAGACATTCATTTAAAGGCCATATGGCAGAATGACAGCCCTCATTGCAAATTACATTTAATAGGCTAACAGATGAGAATTTTTCTCTTTTTTTTTTGAACCAAAAGCAAATGTGCTCTTGCTTCAAAATATTTTTCTAATTTTCCTGGTAGTTCAGTTCATATTTTGAAAGGTATGAATTGTAAGCAGGATAATTAGAATCTCCTTGGAAATAAATAAATGGTAAAATATGTAAGATTGTTTGAACAGCCTCTTACAGGGAAGCAGTAGAAACAAGGAAAATACACTGGAGTTGAGTGACAGCAAAGTCATCATCACCTTTTGGGACTGAAAACTAAGATCACAACATTCTTGTTTTACATCTAAATTTTCTTATTAGAAATCATGTTAAGAGTTCAATAACTTTTGCAATATTTATTTAAGCTGATGATTTTTTTAAATTTTATTTTTATTGATTGAACATTTTATCAGAAAAAGAAAAGTTTGTATCTGAACTGGTCCTTTTGTGAAATATAGGATTTTGGTAAAATTCCTAGTTACCACAAATTCAAGCCAATTCTACACCCTTAGCCCTGGAGAAAGAAGTGCTGAGTCAACCTTCCTTAAGGCCCTTAGTAATCAGAGCAACATATACATCATATGTATACACCAGCATCTAAGTTTTAGGATGGAGAAAGGACTATGGTGCGCTAGAAAAATCCCAGGGAAGTTCCGTGACATGGAAAGAAAAAAATCTCCCAGCATTAATCACTTGATAGGAATGAGGTAGGAATGGAGCTGAAAGGTGTCATGGGTAAAACAGCAGCAGGCTCCCATATTAGCTGGAAAAGGAGGATGTTTGGTCATTTTTGTGATTTGCATGGTGTTCTTCCTCTTACCTGTGCTCAGATATGATTGACAGAGTGGCCATATTTTTACCTCATTGCATCACAGGCACAGACCAGGCACAACCTGGTCTGAGGGTTCTATTCTCTGAGATTGTTTTTCTTAAGTAGGAAACACCAGGGCTGAGGTACTAGGTGCAGGCTAGCCCCCAAAGGACACCTGTGAGGAGCTGCAGTTTTCTTCTCACAGAATATTTAAAGAGCTCCTATAAGTCAATGCGGCTTCCCTGGTGGCTCAGCTGGTAAAGAATCCGCCTGCAATGCAGGAGACCTGGGTTCGATCCCTGGGCTGGGACGATCCCTTGGAGAAGGGAACGGCTACCCACTCAAGTATTCTGGCCTGGAGAATTCCATAGGCTGTATAGTCCATGGGGTTGCAAAGAGTCAGACATGACAGTGACTTTCACTCACTTTGTAACTTGTAAGTCAATGATAAAATAATAAATAACCTAATAAAAAAATTACGGAAGTAAGCCCATGAACAGCGATTCACGAAACAAGAAGTAAAAATGAACAACCACATGAAAAGCTCAATCACACATTAAAAAAATAAAACACTGTTGGTAGGAATTTAAATCAGTACAGCCCTTCTGGAGAGCAATCTGGCAATGTCCAAGTATTAAATGCATATGCCCTTCAACTTAGAATTCTACTTCTAAATATCTCTCCCAGAGAATTATATGCCCATGTACAAAGAGAGCTATAGAAGAATATTCATTGTAGCCTGTTTGTGGTAATAAAAACTGGAAACTAAGCAACTATTAAAGGGGAATAATTGAATATACTCTGGAATCAAAAAAAAAAAAAAAAATCAGGAACCTCCAAAAAAAGACAGCAGATGTCAGCTTGCACTAAACAGTTTCCCTGTGTTACTTGACTACACACACAAACTAGACCCCAAAAGTTACTGTAATTTGATATATTCAGTACTTTTTAAAGAAATCTGCATTCAAACCATTTAACTTGAAATTATGCTTTTCATGAAGCCTAACCTAAACGGCACATTGACCAAGAAGAGGAGCTCTAGCATTAGGCTACAACAAGCCACCAGCCACTTACGGCTCTGGAGCAAGGTGGCTGGTTCAAACTGAGACACACTCGAAGCATAAAACACACACCAGGCTTGAGTGGATGCGTACAACATGAAAGAATGTGAAATCTCATTAAAAAATTTCAGAGATTACACACTCAAATGACAAAACTTTGCATGTGTGCATGTGTTCTCAGTCGTTCAGTAGTTTCTGACGCTTTGCGACCCCATGGACTCTAGCCTGCCAGGCTCCTCGGTCCGTGGAATTTTCCAGGCAAGAATACTGGAATGGGTTGCCATTTCCTACTCCAAAAATTTTGCATAAACCGGGTTAAACAAGTATTTTGAAAACGATTATCATGTGTCCTTCTACTTTTTAATTTTTTTACCTTTTGATTTTTAAGGTAGCAGCTAGAAAAGGTAGTTACATATGTGGCTTGCATTATAATTCAACTCAATTTCAATTATGCCAACTCACCTCTCTCTGTCTGAATTTCCTTATTTGTCAAATGGGGCTACAAAGAAAAATTCCTCTCATAGAGTTACTATAAGACTTAAATGATATATTTTATAAACAACTTTTATCAAACACAATGATTTTTCATCGAGGAAACTTCACAACAAAAGTTAAATGTTCTCCCTGCCCCTGAAACTAAAGAATGTATTTCTAGGATGCAAAGAGTAAGTAAATAAAGGCAGATACCAGGGCAGGCAAAACGAGCTTCACGGGTGCTGGCAATGAGGGAGAGTAACGTCGAGCCTTCCTCACTGCAAACTTCTCAGTAGGGATCGATTTCCCAGCAATTCTCTGCTTCAAGCCATCCACCTGTCTGTGAAGAGCCCCAGTTCCAGTGAAAGGTCATTAGAACACATGCAATATTTATACCTGTCCCTGTTATGCCTCGCTCCCCAGAGCAGTGGATCAGCACCACCAGGAACCCTGTTCAAAATCCAAATTTAGGCTCCACCCCAGACCTAATAGTGGTTTCCCTGGTGGCTCAGATGGTGAAGAATCTACCTGCAATGTGGGAGACCTGGGTTTGATCCCTGGGTCAGGAAGATCTCCTGGAGAAGGGAATGACTACCCAATCAGTATTCTTGCCTGGAGAATTCCACGGACAAGAGGGATCTGGTGAGCTACAGTCCGTGGCTTCCCTGGTAAAAGTGGCTCAAAAAGAGTCATCAACTCACGCATAATTCGAGAAGATGCTTCCCAAGCATAGGTGATTTTGAAAATAATCAGCTAAGAACACATAGCATGCTTACAATCTTCCTCTCAAAATTCTAAGAAATACCAATTATAAAATTCACAAGCACAGAAAAATGGGAATAGAGGCTACATATTTGAAGGGCACTTTCTCATACATAGTCTTGTAAACGCACCAAATGGGTCGCCAAGAGGGAACTTAGGGAAATATCTAATTACACCACTGAAAGAAAGGGGAAGATGCAATGATTCCATATGAAGACAAGCTTGTGTTACATTATTTCTGGGCACAATCTTGGGATATGGGTTTTTTTAATTGAAGCATAATTGACATATAACATTACATTACTTTTAGGTGTACAAACAGGGTTTTAAACCAGGATGCTCATCATGAATGTTAATTAGTATCAGTGGAAAAAGCGGTGGACATAAGAGGTGGGGGTTAAGGGAGGGGGTCAGAAGCGTGCAGTGGACATGAAACCTCCTGATTTAAGGATCACAGAGTCTGTAATGAAGAGAACATTCATTTGAGGGGATTCTCCTCTCAGTATCTCAACACATATCTCTATGCTATCACACATAGAGCAGACTTCAAGCTTTTGCCTGAAAATAAGATTAGTTACATGTTTCATAGAAATTATTTTGATGCAGAGAAAATTTTTTTGGAGTGGAGGAAACTGAGATGTAAAAGATCCCAATATAGCTTAACATTCCCTTCTATTTGTTGTCGTGTGTGTGAAACAAGGAAATGCATTTTACCAGTAGCAGGTGGCATTCCATAGCTCCCACTAATGTAGATTCTACATTTAGTTATATACATGGTCCAGTTTCTAAAAAGCATGACAAAGTTGTCCTGGTCGTACCTTCAAATCTGTCCTGACAAGTCTGAGGGTGCAGACAAGCCATTACTTCTCATAATGTGGCCACAGAATATAGTATTCCATTAAAAGTGTTTGTCATCAATTATGTTTAAAGAATGCAGCGGGGCTTCTCTGTTCCCCTGCCTGCCTCATCTCCAGAGGTCACGTCCTCCTTTCTACCACAGTCACCTAGTCCTACAGTTGCATCTTAGGCCATTTCATCATCTGTAACTTTTCTACATCAGAGCCCAAACTCAGGCACACCAACCACCCTCCTCATTATAACCTTGGCTGTTCTAATGAGACTTTGGTCCTCTTGCCTTTCAACTCTCTCCCAACTCAGCAGTCTCCTTCCTCCCCGTCCCTCCATACTCCTGCTTAGCCTGCCCTGCAGGCAGTCTTTACTGCCGCAGGCTCCAGCGTATTTCCTAGACTCCCTTGCCAGTGCCTCATTGTTGCACTCATCTTCCTGCAATGAGAACAGGTTGGCATCACTGTACAGTCAACACCAACCTCCAATGAGCCCTCGCACTGCCTGCCATTCCGCATCCTGTGCTTCTCTCTCCCACACTCTGCAACAACGATTTCAAACATTCTCCATCCTCCTCAGACCTCCAGCCCACTCCTTTCTCCTTCGCTCTCAACAGACAGCTCAGACTCCACACACGGGATGGCAGGCCTCTGAGCCTGCTCTGGACTTCTTCCTGCATGATACAACAGAGGACCCGGTCCTCCGTCTAAATAAAGCCGGTCCTGCCATCAGTGCTTTGGAGTCTATCTCCTCCTGACTTTTCAAGAGCCTTACAAAGATCATTTATCGCATTTCCCACTTGTATGTACAACTGTCTTTCTGAACTGGGTCCTCCCCAGTGGTTTTTTAGAATGCTCAGATCTCTCCCATTAATATATTCTTTGATATTACATCTCCCTCCAACTTTCTCTATCGCTTATTGTATTTATGCTTAACTCTGTTCATTTCTTTGTATCTCATTCACTCTGGCCAACCCCAGGCTGGTTTCCACCTCCACTCTATCACCTTATCATTTCCTGCATGGGATACTAATGATCTCTGTGTCACTAAAAGACATCTTGTCTTATTTTTTAAGCCTACAGCACACAGTATTCCCAGGCAGCCTCCCATCCAAGTACGAACCAGCCCCAACTCTGCTTAGCTTCCGGGATTAGACAAGATCAGACGTGTTCAGGGTGGTATGGCCATAGACTTCGTCTTTTTTTTCTTTTAATTCTGTATTCTGTGAGACATATTTTGAGTAATCCTGGACATTCGTTTTACTTTGGCCTATATACAAAATGTAGCATTATGTCCTGCCAACATCAGCTTTGCTTTAGTTTGTTTTATGTGCAGTGCTCCTTCCTACAACAGGGTCCTCGCATATGCTGTTCCTTTGGTCTGAAACTGTATCAACACAACTCTCCACCTGCCTCTGCAGCTCCTTCAGACCTCATTTCTACTATTATTCCCCCTATGCTCTTATCTATACCTCTCTCTCAATGGGGAACAGAGGGACAGGGTAGTGTTGGTGATACAAGTATTATGGGTTTTTGCCTTGCTACCAGCAGTTCCAATTACTGGGAGAGGAAAGGACATAGGTTTACTAGGGAGTTTTGAATGTTTCGACATACCTAAGTGAAGGTGGCAAATGGGAGCTGGGTATATAGGTCTGGAACTCATCATGAGCTTACCTGAATAAAGTTACCACATCCTCTTTAGTTGCTACCACATCCTCTTCTGGAAGCATACTCAAAATTGCAGCTTTTAAGAACACATATGTTGCCTTGAGAAAAAGAAAAGCAGTAATTAGAGAGCACCCTAGTATATGATATTTCTACCTTGTAAATCAAGAATGACCCACAGGATTTCCCTGGTGGTCCAGTGGTTAAGAATTCACCTGCCAATGCTCGGGGACATGGGTTCAATCCCTGGTCCGGGAAGATCCCACATGCCACCGGGCAACTAAGGCTGGGCACCACAACTACTGAACCCAACAGCCACAACTACTGAAGCTCCCACGCCCTCGAGCTCATGCTCTGCAACAAAAGAAGCCACTGCAACGAGAAGCCCATACAGCGCAACTAGATTAGCCCCCGCTCACCACAATCAGAGAAAGCCCACATGCAGCAGTGAAGACCCAGTGCAGCCAAGAATAAATAAATAAACAACAATTTTCAAAAAAGAATGAACTACAAATCTTCCAGATATAGTATCTGAGGTATCAAAGACAAAAAAGGGAAATGAAACCTCTTGCTACCTGTTCCAAATAAGATCAACACTTTCCACCAAATTTTAGCCATTCCCCTATTATACAACTTTAATGTTCGTAGATGAAGAAGTGGACAAAATGAAAAAGAGATCATTATCTCATTCCTCCCAATTTCTCACAAATGGATCAGAAGGTTTTTAGAACTTTTTAAAATTGAAGCTTAATTGATTTACAATACTATATGAGTTTCAAGTGTACAATATAGCAATTCAATATTTTTATAGATTATACTCCTTTTAAAGTTGTTATAAAATATTGGCTGTATTTCCTGTTTTTGCAACCTTGTTATCTTATTTATATCTATTACCGTGTACCTCAATCTCCTTTGCCTATTTTGCCACACCTGTTAGAGTGGCTACCATCAGAAAGAACAAATAATAAATGTTGGCAAGGATGTAGAGAAAAGGGAACCTAGTATATTGTTGGTAGGAATGTAAATTGGTACAGCCATTATGGAAAACAGTATGAAGATTCTTCAGAAAATTAAAATAGAACTACCTATGATCCAGCAATTCCACAAAAAGATATATACATCTCAATGCTCATAGCAACATTATTTACAAAAGTTAAGATACAAAAGCAACCTAAGTATCCATCAACAGATGAATGAATAAAGAATTAATTTTTATTACTATGAAAAGCTTCGTTATCAGGACATCAAAAAGTCTACAAAAAATTATCAAAACTTGATATTTGATCATTTTTATATATAACTGAAATTCATCTTCAGAAATAAAGCCTCTTTGTTGAAAAGGGCTGCTTGGATGGCTTTTTAAAGCATATAGTGCTAAGGACAGTAGTTATAAACAGCAGGTACTTAATGCATACTTCCTCCTTTGATGGATCTCTACGTTGAGAAAACAGTGTTGATATCATACTATTGAACAAACAATCCCAAACGAAAAACATTCTGTACACTTAATAGCAAACAGATGACACTATTGAAAGTACTATACTTTACCTTGGACCATTTACTCTCTTTGCAAAGCAGATCTGAATAGTAATATGCCTCTCTCCAGTTTTGTTGGAATACAAAAATCCACATCAGCTCCCAGTAACAGAGATGGTGAAACTGTTTCCATTCTTCTTGAACTGAAATGCATTTTCGAAATATCTCTTGTGCCTATAAGTCAATTGCATAAAGCTGATCATCCAGATATTAGACAAGGAGATAATAACCTAATGGAAAAATACATAAAACACTTTGTACAAAAAGAACAAAATCATGACTCATTAAACCACTCAGTATGACATGCTCCTTTCCTTACATGCCAACAATGCAGTTAAATTCTGTCTCCTTATTTAACTTTGTAGGAGGGCCATCGAACTTTATAATGTGGGAGTAGCAAAGTTCCTTCCTTAAGTAAGACATAAAAGACAGAAGTCCTTTAAGAAAAGACTGACAATAAATTTAGAACTTCCAGAGAGTAACATATACCTTAAACCAAGTTTAAGGCAACGGACAGACTGGGAGAAGATATTGCTATATACATAACTGGCAAAGAATTAACACTTATCATACAACAATTTTACTAAAAAAGACAAATCAATGGGAAAATTGTTAAAGATATAAATAGGAAATCAGAGAAAAAGATATATGAGTGACAAATATACATATGAAGGCTTTTTTATTGGAAAATATAAATTAAAAATTAGATTATCATTTTTCAGCCATCATACTGGAAAAATAAAAGATAAATAACGACCAGCATTGGCAAAAAGCATTGGAAACAAGTATTCTCGTATCTTTGGGCTTCCCAGGTGTAGCTCAGTGGTAAAGAATCTGCCTGACAACCAGGAGATGCAGGTTCAATCCCTGGGTCAGGAAGATTCCCCTGGAGAAGGAAATGGTAACCCATTCCAGTACTCTTGTCTGGGAAATGCCACAGACAAAGGAGCCTGGGGGGGCTATAGTCATATCTTTATAGGAGTTTAAATGGACTAGCTTAAAGTAAGGAGGGCAATCTGTCTGAATTTATTAAAATGCAAACATCTTTGACCTAGAAATCCTATCAGACTGTCTTATATAAATATACCTTTACACTGAGATGTACACATAATAATGTTTACAACAGCATTGTGTATAATAGCCAAATGCCTATCAATAGTGGACCACTTTAATAAGTACAGTTTATCCATCTCACGGAATGAAACCCAGCCATCAAAAAGAATGAGGAAGATTTAGATATACTGACCTGGAAAGAAATCCAAGATGTATTGTAAGCGGAAAAAAAAAATCAAATCAAGGAAAAATAAATATGTTTGTCCCCATTGTGTAGAAGAAAATTGTTTGTGAGTATATTTATATGAAAGGCTCTTCACTCTTTTTCTTCAAGGGATTTAGTGAATAATTTCCTTTGATGGGGAGCACACATGTAGTACAATGAAGTTACCTTTATGGAAGGTCTAGATTCCAAAGTCAATAAGTAATACCAAGATGGATAGCAGTCAAAGTTTTCTGGAAGTCCCTTAAATTGCCCACCCGTATTTCTATATCCAAACCTAAATTGCCTCAAATCCTTCATACATAAATGTAGAGTATATTCTACTATACATAGTACATACACATTATATTCTATAATCTACTACATAGTACATACACATTATATTCTATAATCTACTACACACCCACAAAATTAAAGTTTGGCTTTTTAATTACATATTTTCCCTCTATTTTTGTCTAGCACATACAGCTGGATTTGCTCATGTGGAATGAGTTTGCTATGCAACCCCACTAAACAGACAGGCCCCCAAAATGACCCCCTCAAATAAGTTACCTCTTCCACATTGCCTTTCAGCAGCTCTATCCGGCCATGATAGAACAACACAAGGGAGCCCTGCAGAGGAAGGGATAAGCAGACTGTTCAGTACTCCACCCTGGGAGAATGATTATGGCTGAAAACAGACCCCTGAAATTCTAAGCATACATTTGGAAACTGCTGGAGGTAGGGTTCAAGGAGACTCTCTGCTTCCACAACATTCACTTCTCCCGTACCTAGAAATTTAACAGGAAGAGCCTCAGTCTTCATGAAACACAGTCAACATTTATACCTATTTCTCCAAATTTCATTAAAATATATAGCAAAGACCTATTCATGGAAACCATGACAACTATTCACTTGAAGACAAGTCCATCTATGACTTTAGCTTAAGAAAGCTTTAGGGCAAATTCGTAAGAGCAGACATGGTTGCCTTCAATTCTTAATTGAAATTTCTGACTTGAATACCAATACGAACTATTTTTAACAAAAAATTTAACTTTCTGCTAAAAGAGAAATGTAATATGCTAAAAATAGATCACCTTAAGCAAGTCTTATAGGATTTTTTTTAGTTGAGAACAGATTAAAAAAAAAGTAATGAAAGAAACCCTCCACCCCTTCTGCTAAATGTCACTATGACAAAGTCACTATTTTCCATCTTTCTGAAAAAAAAAGTAAATATAGACTCCTATCTCTTACTGATTTTCCTAAATTTTTACTTACTCAGATGAAAGATAATCAACTTTCAATGATGTAAAATGTAATCCAGTCCTTACCAAGTATCAAAGAGATGTAAGTATGAAAAGCTAGTATAGTTAAGCAGCACAGTGGAGACCTCATGCTTCTTCCTAAGGCGCCTTCCCGTAACTGCAGGATGCCCAACTCCTGTGGGAATTAGATGCATTTTAGAATGAAAAGAGCATCATATTCAGAGACTTTAAAATGCTAGCTCATATATCCCCACCCTCCACGAAGGTGGAGTTTATTTTTCAAGGGCTTAGAACAGCAGTAATAACTAGATAGCATCACCAACTTAATGGACATGAACTTGAGCAAACTCTGGGAGATGGTGGAGGACAGAAGAGCCTGGTGTGTTTCAGTCCATGGGGTGGCAAAGACACAGAAAAACAAAAAAAAAAAAAAAAAAAAAGAAAAAAAAATTACACATTAAAAAGGCACAAAACAAAATCACACATACTCATATAAAGGGAACCTAAGGGAAAAAAAAAAGAGAGGGCACATTATAGAAAAAACGCTGATATCTCTCAAAAAAAAAACAAATTAATTAAACAAGAAGAACCAAAGAAAAAAATGCTATGGCGGGTATGAATATTTATGGTTCTATTTCTTCAAAAATCTTTCCATCAAACAGGTCAGACAGTATTTAAACACATTTATTGGACAATGGTGAGGGCCTTAAGAAAGTTAAGTAAGTGATTCTGAAAGTTAGGAATGTTTGAGCCTTGTTGGGAGGGAATAAGCGAAAGCTGTGTGGAATAGGCGACACTGATCTCAAACCTAATGGATTAAGAGACTCTGAAGAGACCTGATTTAGGAGGGTGCTAGTTGCGAAGGATATCTAAAACAGACACCAGCAAAAGCACAGAAGCAGAAAAGCACAAGGTCTGTTTGGAAAACAACCAACTGCCCAGTTTAACAGAAACACTGGGGAAGCAAACAGGACAGGCAGTAAGGCTAGAAACTTGGGCTAGAATCAGATGGTAGAGCCCCTGAATCCACGCTATACTTTGGACTTTATTCAAGGAGCAATTTGGAGCCACTAAGAAAATAAATAGAAGATGAATAGTCAAGGGGAAGGGTAACCATGAAACACAGTCTTATTTGATAACCATAAATACATGATCGCCTATGAAGACCATAAACAGATGATCAATATATTATAGTTTATGAAGAATCTGGACAGTGGGATAAAAGTAGATGGGGAATTTACAGTGTCTTGTACTTGTTCTCAAACAATTCTTGAAACCTGCTCTCTTGACTAAAAGGGCCAATTTCTGCAATAAGGGCAACTCTGGTAATAGCATGTTGAATGTTATGATTGATAACTATTATATACTGCACAAACAACCACACACAAATATAACAAACAAAACTCATGGAATATACACCACCATATGTAAAATAGATAGCCACTGGGGATCTGCTATATGATTCAGGGAACTCAAACCAAGGCTCTGTGACAACCTTGGGGTGGGATGGGGTGGGAGGTCAGAGGCAGGTTTCAGAGGGAGGGGACATATGTATACCTATGGCCGATTCATAGTACGGTAGAAACCATTCAGTGTATGATAGAAACCAACACAACATTGTAAAGAAATTATCCTCCAATTAAAAATAGATACAGTTTTTAAAAAAAGAAACTGATGGAAAACAAACTTCCTTGTTTAGTTTTATAGCAAAACTTGTAAAAACACAAGAAAACCCAAAATACTGCAACCATGCTTGGCCTACACAAACCATAAAATGGTAGACATGGAAATCTAGCCTAAGTGCTTGGTTTAGCGGGGGTTGCAAAAAGGTTAAGGAAACATATTTTAACCTCATGTGAGTACTAAAGATCCAGCAAGCATCAACATTAGTCAAACATAAATTTTTAATCCCAGAATTTAGATAACATTAAGATAAAAAATTTTAATTTTCAATAGAAAAACCATCCCCTAACTCCCCCAAAATATGATTAAGAACCAAAGTCAGTTTACTGTTCTGCAAAGAAACTGCCAATAATTTTCATGCTAATTATGAGGACATGTTATACTTCCCTCATACTCAATAAACATTTTTTATCTTCTTTGTCAAAATTAAGAAAAAATTAATTTTGTACCCTATTTCCAGAAAATCCTATAAATTCTAGTAGTCTGATAATCCGTGCTGGTAAAAGGGACAGCATCTGTAAGAAAAAAAAAAATACAAGTGTACTGTGTGTTAGAATACCTAACTATAGGGAAATGCTACACTCTAAAAACTTAAAATTTTAATGATTCAGTAACATGAAAAATTAGAACCAAGTTTAAACCACTAGACATGTCTCAATCACCACATACTGCACCTCCTATAATCATTACTCGTGACAATTTCATTTAGCTAACCTAAAAAATTAAAAACAGAACAAAGAATCTGGCCTTTTCAGGATGCTCTAAAGAATACTTCCTTTGACGTGGAGTGATAAAAGTGTTGAGAAGGTAACCCCCAGTGCCCACCTCCAAACAAGATTTATTTTAGCAACCTTTTCTAGGAAGCAAAAGTTGATATATTCTTCATGATACACAGGCAAAACCCAGAAGTGGACAGCTATAGCACTACAGCCGCTCTCTGGGACACCTGAGTAGGACGAAGGGAAGTTCTCTCAGGGCAAAACTTCAAGCAGAGACCTAGTTGTTCACTTTGCTTGGAGAAGAAATGCCCATACATGCAATTATTGCTTGGAGAAGAAATGCTCATTATGCAATTATATACAGATTCATAAGCCAATAGTTTGATTGGATGGTCAGGGATTTAGAAAGAACATGATAGGAGGGAATTCCCTGGTGGTCCAGTGGTTAGAACTCCAAGCTTTCACTGCCAAGGGCCCAGGCTCAATCCCTGGTCAGGGAATTAAGATCCCACAAGCTGTGTTGTGCAGACAAAATAGAGAGAGAGAACAAAGAACATGATGGGAAAATTGATGCCAAGCAGCTCTGGCTCCTTGAGATAAGAATATCCATAAGAATATATGGATATATCTCTTTGAATGGGAAAAAAAAATGAAGATATTTGTGTCCCACATGAATGTTCACCAAAGGCTGTCCTCTGCAGAAAAGATTTTAATAATCAAGTGAGTAGAGTGATCCATTCTGTTGACAGCCGACAGCTATTTCCTCAGCTACCTCTGTCATCAACCAATGGGCTCATAAACAAAGCAACCCTGGTTGTACATACCAATTGCAGTCAAACCTTAATAAAACATCAAAATTTCTAAATAATATTGCAACTGGATGGATATTTATTCAAACTCTTCATCTGCCCCAGAGCATTATTACTATCCTTCAAGCTCTATTATTCCCTAACCTATTTTCAATTCCAGAACCACCACTGCTATAGCAGCAGTATTTCTGATGTGGGAATGGACCCAAATTTCAAGCTCCTTCTTACCAAAAAAAAAAAAGTTACTAGTTCATTCAGAGGGCTGTACGCTGCCCTTATTATACAATCCAAAACTCTTCTGAGCATGTGCAGAACTTTATAGCATATTCTGACCAGAGCCTCCCCTGGGTCACAACAGAATAAAGTGGATCCCACTCTAGCCACTTGTCAGACAAACCCAGGCAGAGGTTCAGGGTGAGGTTCAAATGCAATATCAGAGGCACTGAAAACCGAAGGTTCTTTTATAAGATTCTGGTTACCTTCTGATTACTCACCAAATTAAAGGCCCCTATTCCAAGCTTGACACCCCCTTCAAACTCGTAGAAGAACTGCTGCTCAACTTTGTTCTTCTGAATTACATGGAGGATTGAAAGACATTCTCTGGATTAAAGAAAACAGTTATACCATAAGTTTACTATGACACTGAAAATTAAAGTTAAGTCAAATTTTGCATTTAAGTACCATAAGATAGATGTCATTAGGCAAAACACTGGAGAATTTTTAATTGGATGATGCTACGCTGAGTTTACTCTTAATGCTACCAGGTAATCATCATTAAAGAAAAATGACATACTCATTTCTTTTTTTTTTTTTTGACATACTCATTTCTACATTGTTTATCAGGATCAATCTTTCTGCACTTAAAGCAAAAGAGAGTTCAAATACGAGCGGGCATGACTCAGGAGCCTCTTGGAACCTCAGGACTGTGAGCTCCCAGTTTCTCAGCAATGTGTTAGAGGAGATTTTCTAAGAATGCTCAGTCTCTCAGCTGCTGTGCACCCTTCAGCAACCTACATTCCACTGAGAAACCGAGATGCTACTGACAAAAAGAGTTAAATTTCAGTGTGATTACTATGGCCTCAAATAGACCAAATAAAGAACCTGGAACTAGGAAAGACTGAAAGAGGAAAGTAAAGTTCATCAAAACTGCCTGCAACTTTCTTCTTAATTTTCTCTCCTCACCCAAGCCAATCTTTCTGATTTTTCACTTTAATTACTTTCTATTCATTTCTCCCTTTCCCTTTGTATCTTGAATGCAGAGAGTATTTCATCTGTATTCATCAGAGAAATGCAGATGAAAACAAAGATGTAAAAATTGGCAACAACCAAATTGTTTATCAAATTGACAGATAACATTTTTTAAAGTAATAAGAAATAGCCAGATATTACATATCACCTGATGCGATGCAATTATAAAGGATCCAACTTCATTTATGATATATTCTAGCCAAATGCATTTAAGTTGAATCTAGTAAGCCTATATATCTAACTTCCAGTTTTCAGGAAATATAAGGAGCTAGAGAAATGCTATCAACAGAATTATATTTCCCCCAAATCCATATATTGAAGTTCTAACTGTGCCCCCCTCCCAAAGTGTGACTATATTTGGAAATAAGAGATTTTAGGAGGTAATTAAGATTAAATGAGGTCACTGTAAGTGGAATCTCTCTCTCTGCTCTGTGAGCAAAGAGTGAGAAGGTGGCTGTCTGCAAGCCAAGAAGAGAGCCCTCACCAGAACCTGATATGCTGGTGCCCAGATCTTGGACTTCCAACCTTCAGAACTGTGAAGAAATAAGTTTCCGTTGCTTAAGTCACTCCGTGTATGATATTCTATTATGGCAGCCAGAACCGACTAAGAGAGAACAAGCTAAACTAAAACTCAAGGAAGCCACCAAACAAAGCTGTGTGTATACAACTATAGGACACCTGGACTGGGCTTTTCCACAACTGACATGAATATAGAAACTCTTATATAATAAGATATATTTAATGAACATAAACTGAATGCACAAGACAGTCTTGGGTTGGACCAAGGTGCTGACATTCCAGAAATAAGAGAGTTGGGATCAACTGGCAAAATTTGAAGATGGACTGAAAATTTGAAGATGGATTGAATATGAAATGAAGATTTGTTGACATGAAAAAAAAGATCATTAACTGCAAAAGCAAGTTATAAAACTGCACATAAGAGTGATCTCATTTTGGTTTTAAATATACATATCTTTAGATTCATGTAGAAAATATTCTGAAAAAGTATATATTAAGGTGTTAATAATCATAACTACTAGATGTTAAGTACATGGAGTATATGTGGGTGTATTTTAATATTTGTTCATCCGCATTTTCCTATTTTCTAAAATATATACCTTTTGTGACAAAAAGCATTATTTTAATTTTTTAAATGGAAAACCAGGGCTGGCAAAGGTAAGAACAAATAAATTCATTCAGTTATTTATGATAAAATGGTATTTACAGTAAAGAGGTTGGCAAACATTGGAACACAGCCACATCTATTTTTTAATAATGTGATTTTTTTTTTTTTATTCAATTTTTTTTTGGTGACATGACATGCAGGATCCTAGTTCCCTGACCAGGGATCAAACCTGTTCACATACTACATACTATTTTATGGGTTATATTGACAATTTTCCATGAAAATGCATGAAAGTTATCTTATTCTATAACAAAATGTATTATTCCATTCCATGGAATGATTTAATTAACCAAATTCCTCTTCTTAAATTTTCAAGTTATTTCAAAATTTTCCATATTATAAACAAAGCTGCTAAGAGTGTTCTTACACATTCATCAAATACTTTTCCTATATCAAGTACTAGAACTATAGTAATAGCCTCCTAACTGTTCTTAGGATAACTTCTTAGAAAAAAGAACTCCTGAGATCAAAAATGATACATATTCTTGATTTTGATATATACTGCCAGAACATCGTCCATAAAAACTCTGTCAGTTTAGACTCCCACCAACCTATGAGTTTCTCATACTGTCATTTGCCCTGAGTCATTCATATCATATTTCCATTTATAATTTTTATTATGGGATATTTTTGCCATGATGAAAATTTAAATGTTTATTTGGTCAAGTCAGTCTTTTACAGTTTCTGATTTTATGTCACACTTTAAAAGACTTCTGAAATTGATGTCACGTTTTTCCAGTAGTCATGTATGGATGTGAGAGCTGGACGGTAAAGAAGGCTAAACGCCAAAGAATTGATGCTTTTGAACTGTGGTGCTGGAAAAGACTCTTGAGAGTCCCTTGGACGGCAAGGAGATCAAACCAGTCAATCCTAAAGGAAATCAACCCTGAATATTCACTGGAAAGACTGATGCTGAAGCTCCAAGACTTTGGCCACCTGATACAAACAACTGACCCACTAGAAAAGACCCTGATGCTGGGAAAGATTGAAGGCAGGGGGAGAAAAGGGCAACACTCGAGGATGAGATGGTTGGATGGCATCACCAACTCAAAGCACATGAGTTTGAGCAAACTCCGGGAGATAGTAAAACCGGATAGACAGGGGAAACCTGGGGTGCTGAAGTCCACGGGGTTGCAAAGAGTCGGACACAACTAAGCAACTGAACAAAAACATCTACTGCTATGAAGCAATGAGAAAGACACAACACTGCATCTACAGTATTGGTTGCCATAGATGTGATCTGAACTTAATCATGAAGCAACATTAGATAAGTTCACCTTGAGAGACGGTCTTAAAAATAATGGCCAAGTATTCTTTAAAAATGACAAGGTCGTGAAGGCCAAGATTGAGGGGCTCTTTCAGATTAAAACAGACTAAGGAGAGTAACAACTGATTGCAACATCCAGGATCCTGGAGTGGATCCTGAACGAGAATAAGAACACTGGTGGGACAGTTAGAAACACTTGAGTCAAGTCAATAAAGTAGTTAATAATATTGCACCAATGTTAGTTTCCTGATTTTAGTAATTATACTGTGGTTCTATAAGATGCTAATAATATTTGTATATTAGAAGACTAAAAATTCAGAAACTATTTCCAAGTAAAAATCTTTTAAAAACAAAAGTTTAAAGGCCTTTGTGCTTTAGGACTATAAAAAGACTTTCCTATGTTTTTGCCTGTATCCTTTTAAAAATATTTTAATACTAAATCTATATAATGTATCCTTTATATAGTCTTTTCTCCAAAGTGAAGAGTCAATTTTCCCAAAACCATTTATTAAACCAATAAATCAAACCCATCTTTCCCCACTGTTTTATTTAAAATATATTTGCAGACACTTAAAAAAAAAGTAGTGGGAAGCTAGAGAAGAGTTAAACTTTGAAATAAGGGAACAACTCTTAAAGAGACTATATGTTTATATGACTAGTCACTTGAAAGTACTCCCCAGTACACTCAGCATGGGGTGCCTAGAACTTACACAGAAAGCTATAGTCTTATTGGCTTAAAAAAAGTGTACAGAGTTTAAATCTGCCAGAAGGCTGTGAGGTAATAGGGAAATTTTCAGATAGGAATGAACCACACAGGATGGAAATGCCAGTATCAGTGTTAAAACTCCACTCAAATTCTTGGCTGACTCATGAACTATGTGAGAACTGGTGAAACTCTAAAGAAAAGCAGAAACAAGAGAAAAGAAAAAACGGAATCGTGATCTCAGATGTGGCCCACTAGCAGGGATTAAGAGTATGGACTCTAAGTCTAGTCAAATTAAATGCTTCCCAAAACAAAAATCAGCCTTCTTCTGAGAAAGATAACAGAACCTAAAGTCTTTACAATGAGTCACTATCTAGTATACAATCAAAAAATTACTGAATTGAAAACAGAAAAACATAACATATAGTCAAGAGAAAAAGCAGGCAGTAGATATTGACCCCAAGACAACCCAAATGTTGAGATAATATCTAGTCTGAAAAAAAAAATTTTTTCAGTGACTTATTGAACAAAATCAGGCTGACATATAATTGGAGTCTCAGAAGAAGAGTGAGAACGTAGCAGAGAAAAAATATTTGAAGAAATAACAGCTACATGGTTCCCAAAGCCACACTTAAGCATATGAGTCAAAGATATGAGTCTTCAAAGCATCCAGGGGGAACAATAGCAAAAAATAACAGCTGACTTATGATCACAAACAACAGAGGCCATGATATTGGGTTGGCCAAAAAGTTAACTCAGATTTCTCCATAAGAAACCCATACAGAAAAAAACAAATGACCTTTTTGGCCAACCCAATATGACAACTGATAGCTTTTAAGAAGTGAAAGAAGAAAAGAAAAAAGGAAAATCTTGTAACTCAAAAATACTATACTGAGTAAAAACAGCCTTCAAAAATGAAGGCAAAAAATAAAGACATTTTCAGATAAATAAAATAAGAGTTATTGAAAGTGGATATGAACTATAAGAAATTCTAAAAGAAACGCTTCACTCTGAAATTAGAAAGGAATGAATGAAGAACATCAAAAATGGTAAATATTGGTTTAACAGTGGGGACTATGACATAAAACCGTTTAAAGCAAAGGTTGGACACCACACTGTGGGGTTTATAATACACATAAATGTACTACCATAAAAATAATATAAAAGACAAACGGTGGTCAGTAAAACTATACTTTTGTAAGTTTCTTCTATTGTATGTGCAACAGTACAATATTAACTCTAACTTGACTATGGTAAGTTAAGAAGGCTATTATAATCATTACAGCAAACATTTCAGAAAAATTAAAAGGGCTATAGCTAAGAAAATAATAGAGGGATTCTACTGGAATATATATATATATTTAATTAAAGCAAAAGAAGGCAGAAAAATAAGGAGAGGGGACAAATAAGGCAAAGAAAAAAAGCAAAATGGCAGTCACAAGTGCAAACATATTAACTGTTATACTGAATAAAAAAGTAAGACCCAATTAAACATATTTACAAAAAAAATGTAATTTAAATATAAACAAAGATAGATTTAAAGCAAAAGAATATATGCCATGCAAACACTAATTACAAAAAAGCATAAGTAGCTTTATTAATATCAGACAAAACAGATTTCAAGACAAGGAATATTATAAGGAACATTTTATAATGATTAAAAAAAGGTTACTTTATTAGGAGATAAAACAATTTAAAAATATATAAGCCCAATAACAAAGGTTCTAAATACAAGCAGAGAGTGACAGAACTAAAGAGAGAAATGGATGACTCCAGAATCAAAGCTGAAGATTTTTAACACTGTGAGTAAAAGATAGGACAACTAGATAAACACCAGTAAGGACAATGAAGATACGTGAATGACACTATGGTCCACTCTAACACTGGGACAGTGGTGTTTCAGAGTCTGAACCAAAGACATACCTATATATACCTGCCATTTTTAATTTACAAATTGTTTCTAGGAGAGAGAAACTAAGATTATCTAATCAGAAATTATGTAAGTACTTTTCAGCTATTTTTCTCTTAAAACTGCATTTATTCTGTTATCCTTTAGCATTGAATACACACTCAGTAAGTCAAAATTCAAGTGCATTTTTACCAACACTAAATTTTAAAAATCTAGTCACACTTATTAAAAAACTTTAAAGTACAAAGTGGTATATAATACAAGAATTATTTTAAAACCACAAGAAGGTGGTCATAAAGGTACAAACCTTGTCATAATATTTTTCATCAATCTTAATTTTTAACTTACTTATATATTTGGTAACTTGTTCTAATTTTGAGTCCACCTTTGATGAAGTTGATCATATTTTCATCCTGAAAACAATTCAATTACATAATTAGATCATTTAGCAAATGATTCTGAGACTGTCCCCACAGCTGTGTAGCTGCATGATTAGAACAAAACATTATCTTTTGAGGACATGATTTTTAAATTAAAATATTCTTCTTGCTTTACATATGAGATGCCTTTTTTGTCATCTTTCTTCCAACTTAGAGGACAAAAAAAGGAAACAATTTTTAAATCCTTGCGTAACTTTAAGGATGTAACTAAGAAAGTAATCCTCACCAATTAGGGGCCATAGAGTGAGTCCAAACCTATTTCGATAAACATCAAATACTGAGCAATTTTCTTTTAGGTTCAATGGAGTTCAAAATGGCTGTTCCAAGGACCTTCCGGTCTGTCATACTCCAAGTAATGGGATTATGGTTCTTCATTAGGGGGTATTTTAGCAGGCTGTCTATTTAGAATTGTGAATTTCATTTGTATACATTTCCAGACCAAAAAATAACTGATATTGATTCTAAATTTGTTATCACTAGCATGAAATTTTGTTTGGGAATTTTGTTTGTTCTCTTTGCCTGATGGTCATCAACCAAGCAACTGAGGCAATTGGCTGAAATGAATGACCTTTTTAGGGTGAGCACTCTAGGATTCTAAGAGTCTTTTAACAAAGTATATAAAATAACTGCTTTAAAGATGCTACTCTAATAGATGGTGCCAATGGAGAATGCTTTTCTAACACATTAAGAACAGAAACATGCTCTGGTATTTAGCTCCTGTGCACTTGAGCATCCTTTCGAAGCCACAGAAAAACTGATTTTAGTTTGTTAGTTTCATCACTTACTTAAATACTTAATACTTAGATTATTAAAAGAATCAATAAATGTAAAATTTACTATGCAATTTAAATGCTCATTTTCTGATTTTAAGGTAGCTTACAGTCACACAAGTTCCAATAGTAGCCAGGAAAGAATTTCTTAAGTTGGAATAAAATCTGCTTCAAATAAGAATATTGAATGATTCACCAAACATTCGCGGAATGCCTATTTTACAGCAGGCACCAAATTGCAAAATAAGACAGAAGCAAACACAATGCACTAAGGGACGAAGACATGCACAGACGGATGGAAACAGGCACGGGTTGCCATGACAGCACAGAGGTGGGCTGGGATGTGAAGAGGTCCAAAAAGCTTCCGGGAAGCATCAGTGCTTGAAGCATTAAAAAAAAAAAAAAAAAAAAAAAGACTAGGAAANAAAAAAGAAAAAAAAAAATAAATATAAAAAAAAAAAAAAAAAAGACTAGGAAATAACCAGATGAAGGAAGAGAAGGCAGATGTGAACTTTGCAAGCAAAAATAAAAACCTTTCAGGGGAAAGGCAAGGAAGCACTAAAGATCATGGTGCGCTTGGCTAGGCTTCTATAACACAGCACTGCTACAGAAATCTATTTCAAAGAAGGGAATGACTAAGGAGTAAGAAAGCTACTTGCACTGGCTCCACCCAAGTGTGCCACCAGCAGGCGGGGATGTCGGTAAGAGGGGAGTCGGGAACTGGGAGAGACGCCAGTTGAGTTTTAAAAAGCCTTCCCCATTTGTGATTTTCTGACACAGAACCACTGCCATCGTCAGTGAAATGCTGAAATGCTACGAAATGCTGAGGCTGAGACACGAGCAGGCGAGATGCTGACCTCGGAGAGGGTGCACAACTGCCACGGAGAGTGAGCTGGGGGGAAGAGGAACTACAGACCAAGGGTCCCGAGGCTGCCGTGAAGTCTAGGGGGGAGCTGACGAGCCCCTCACTAGGACAATTATGGTCAGAATAAAGAAGAGATGGGGCTGATAAACCTTCAAAAGGTAAAACAGCACAGTCGTCAGCCTGACTGGACATGGAGGCATGGGGAAGAGGGAAAAGCCGTGGGTATCTCCCAGATATTGAGTTACAAGCCCCTAAACATTTTTTCAAAAACCCTTTGAATCAAAGATTTTACTGTCAAATTCCCATTTGAAAAACACATTTAAAAAAAACACACACACAAAACTGGGGGCCTCTGTGACTAGCCTTTTGTATACTAAGGCAGTGAGACTGCTTCAGGCATCATAATATGTAGAGTTTTAGGAAACAGTGTCATAGACCAGATTGATTCAATTTTCCTTAACCAGACTCCAACCTATCAGGTCAGTCAACCTCCAGAAAAAAGAGAAAAGCACTCTCAGTTCGATGTAAAGCATTGAAATCAAGGAAGACTTTTTCCATCTTTCAGTTGAATTTTTGCCCCCTTACCATCTCCACCCCACTTCTACCCCACTGTAACCATCACTGCCACCTGTGTGGCCACCTGTTAATAACAAATCCTAGAGGTGAAATTTAAATTTAAATGCCCCTGAGAAAAAGAGTCATTGTTTTGTTTAGTGACTTCTTTCAACTGCTCTTCCAAAAGAAGAAATGAAAGGGGATGAGAATACAAATAGCAGGGAAATAAAATCTGAGGTCTGCATGCATAACTGAGCTTTGCAAAGCATCTGGCGCAAGAAGGGAACAGCCAAAGATGCTGAAGCCAGTCACCCCTGTGTGCAGCCCTCCACCATTAGCAAGCGCACAGAGGCATAACTTCACAATTCTCACACAGAGAAGCATCCTGAAATTAGGTGTGATAGGTGCAAAACAGCTTCTTTAAAAGACAGTGGTTCCCAACAGACTGAAGTTCAAAACAGCGTCTTTTAGGTGCATTTGAGTAGGAAAAAAAGATCCCCCAGAGTCTTCTTTCAGCCAAAGTTTACAAGCAATAACAAATATCTTTCATTATAACTCTAAGTCGAAAGAACTGAAGTACTGACACAGAATGAGCCGCATTTTTTTCTTTATCGTACTTAGCAGGCTTCCCGGGTGACACTGATGCTAAGCCAAATGTTCGTTACCTGCACAAACGTGAGGGCTGCTTTCTGTAGGAGGCACTCGGCATAACAGATTTCAGCATGCATTTCCTCTATTAAAAACAAATAAAAGTATATTAAGGAAAATCCCACACCCACAGTAATTGCTCTGAGATATTCAGAAAAGACAGATAGATAAATGAGCCCAGAGGAGACATAAAAACCTAGGTTGCTTCATGATTGCATAGAAGTGGAATGATGATCTCAGTTCTCAGGGCCTCAGCAAGATTCTTCCAGAATGTGTGAAATGCTTCGGGAAAGTCATCTTTGGCTCGATTCACATATAACCACCAAGAGTCAGGCCCTTGGTGTCAGAGACCCAAACTGGGCTCACAGGAGGAAACCAAAACGGAAAAGCACTTTTGGGGAGAAAAGAAAACCACTCGTGTTTTTAACTTAATGGTAAACTTCAAGTCTACCACAGGGATGGATTGAAAAACTAACTTGAAAATACTAATTCTAAAATCAAAAATATTATGAAGGCATGATGGTCATGACAATGGTTAGGCACACTATCAACCTGAAGAGAAAGCAGTAATTCCTGAGGATTCTAGGAAAAAGAACTGGCCTGCATGTCCAACTCATGAGGCCTCATTCCGGGAAGACTTGATATAAAAAAGTTAGCACTAGCAGAGTTTGGGGCTACTTGCTTTGTGCGTGTGTGCATGTGGGCATGTGTGTCTGCTTTCAGCTGCGCTACACATAGGGTCTTAGTTTGCCGACCCAGGATCGTACGCACACCCAAGGCCTTGGAAGCATGGAGTCTTAACCACTGGGCCACCACACAAGTCTCAGCTTGAGGATATTTGGATCATCGAGGTATCCAGCGCAGGAACAAGGTACTCACAAGAGGGCTACGTAAAACTTTGTCTGTATCCCCTGGACACAGAGTGCCCCCAAACACGTGGCCTATCTTCCTAAACAGTTCATGATACCTGGAGAGACTGGGGAGGGAGGAATCTTTGCTTTTTTTTTTTTTTCGTATAAACAAAATCAGCAATTTACTGTTTTATCCATAGGATACAAACTAGTGTGTTATTTAAGTAAATGAGCTTTGGTGTTGGGGTAATTAACGGCCTGGATTGTAGGAAAGGCCCTGCCACATACTAGTTACAGAACCTTGAGCAAGCTACCCTCCCTCCCTCTGCGGGTCTCCTTGTTCTTCAAGTCCAGCTAATGACATCTCTATTTCAAAGCTGAAGAATTCAAGTGATGCCTGTAGACTCACTATGCAGAGTAAGCCCTCAACATGCATCAGCTCCTTCCACTAAGATTACTCCCCTTGGCCCATGTCATGCTTTCTGACAAAACTTCAAAATGTAGCACATTTGTAAGTGATGTAAGTAACTGAAAAACGGGATATTTCCGTGTTGATGGAATGATGTTGAATCTAACTGGATAAGACCAAGTGCTTTATTTCTTTCACTTACACACACACACACATACTTTGTTCTCACAAACTGGTTCACCTTCCTGCCATGCTCATGTTCCAAAGGCTGATTGACAAAGAAGCAACAATGCAATGAAGATCTTCCAACAGCATGTGTAAGATGGGGCCAAACCCACAACAGGCCAAATTTGAGGAGCTGCGGTCAGCAGCACACACTCTGGCAGCATGAACAGCCAGGGTCTCCATCCTTCAGAAAGCCTCACTTTAAAGGGTGCCCCTTGGATTTTCTCAGTGAGTTCAGTGGGAGAAAAACAGGTAACTTTTACAGAGTGATTTGAACAGCCTCTTCCCAGGGAAACTTGTCACAAAGCAGGAACTTTCAGTAATTACTCCCTTTGGAAGCCGGCTCAGTAACCCAGATGGCTGGCTTGGGGCATGTGTTGAGGAGGTGGTGAAGTTGCTGCCGGGGGAGAACCAGCGCGAGCAGAGAGGCGGAGCACAGAGCCCTGCGTGGCAAGACCAATGGTGCGCCTCTGGCTGGAGCGCAGTGAGGTGTGGGCTATGAGCCTGGGAAGGCAGGTGGGGCTAAATGATGGATGACCTTGAATATCCCAGTCTGGGCTTCATCCAGCAGGCAGTGGTATTGCAGCAAAAATAGAAATGAGACCTTTCTTAAATAAAAATGAGACTTTTCTGATAAACAAGGAAACAATGAACAGGATAGGGAAACAACATAAACAGGCCTGAATGAGTTAAGCAATCTTGGTTACTGTCTAGCTGTTACTACTAACAAACACTTGTGGCTAGACTGGTCCTTTTACAAAGCTAAATAAAGCTAATTACTCTCGGACTCCATATGTATTATGAATTATACTCTGCACCTGGCATTCTTCCCCCTACACACCCTTGCAGCATTCTTCCTTTCAGAAAGGAGGTCACAGGCTTATAACTTCTGAAAAGACCAACCCGAGTTACTGAGTTACCTGATGCCAGCTGTGGCCGTTTTGAAATTTTGCAAAAGAAAAAAAAAATGCAAGACTTTCCTTAGGATATAAAACCTCTCCTTATTTCTGAGGAAATGGGGCATGGTTCTTAAGGCACTAGCCTACTGTGTTTCCCCTTTGACTGGCAAAGAATGAAGCTACTCTTTCTGTTTTTTTCCTCCAAACTCTGTCTATGTATTTCTATTTGGCATTGGTGGACAGGGAGCCAAGATTTTGGCATCAATGGTGAGACCTTGCAGAGATCTGAGCAGATGGGTAGACGGATCAGAGTTAAGCTAAAGATGGACAAATCAAAGAGGAGCATAAAGGACATAACACGAAGGCAGAGGTAAAAGGCAAGAAAGTTTGAACTGTATACTCTATATATAATGAATCTTTGAATTAAATCCCTTTTACATCCTAAGAACTGCATACAAACATGTGTTTTTAAAGACAATTTGAAAGCCATTTAATATGCCAGCCATGAGAAGAATGGGTGTGCCCCATCTTCAATCCACAAAAAGTTTAATTAAATATCCTTACTCCTACAAACAACCAGCCACTCAAGGATAGAAATGGAAATTACCTATAGGAAAAACAAATTGCACACTAAATCTACAATGTTTTGACATGCTCCCTTGAACACAAAGTCTGTTTGGATTGCAGCAACAGCCAAATTCATTAGGAATAAATGCAACTTAATTTATAAAAGTCTTATCTCTTCACTCGGATTGATTTATATTGGGCAGCCCTTAGCTCTCAAAATTAGACATTTGGCATTTACAAGTAGGTACCTACCAGAACATCTCTTAATTATAAATTCCTTAGTTCACTGAAGGAAATATCTTCATTATGCAGTGAAGCGTTAGCTAAGCACGCTTTCAGACACAGAAGTCTAAATAAACCTTATTTCAGAATAGTTTAAGTCACAGGCTGATGTATTTTCATAATTTTTAAATTAGGATCTTATTTTTCTGAGTTTCAGGTTCACAGGAAAACTGAGGGGACGGTAGAGAGATTTCCCATATATCCCTTGCTCTCTGGCTCACCCCAACATGCACAGCCTCACCTATGATCAACATGCTCTCCCAAGTGGCACATTTGTTACAACTGGTGAACCTCCACTAACATGTCATAATTACTGCCATAGTTCCTATTAGGGTTCACCCAAGGTGTTGTACATTCTATGGGTTTGGACAAATGTATAATGACATGTATTTAATCATTATGATTTCACTGCCCTAAAAAACTCTCTGTATTCCACCTGATCATCCCTCCACCCCATCCCCTGGCAACGACTGATCTTTTTACTGTCTCCACAGTTTAGCCTTTCCCAGAATCTTACTTACTTAGAATCATACAGTAGGTAGCCTTATTCAGATGGGTGTCTTTCTCTTAAGAATATGCATTTAAGGTTCCCCCGAATCTTTTCATGGCTTGACAGCTCATTTCTTTGTAGCACTGAATAATATTTTACTGTCTGGATGTACCATACTTCATCCATTCACCTAGTGAAGGACAAGTTTTGGCAATTCTGAATAAAGCTGCCATAAATATTTCTTTGCAGATTTTTGTGTTAACACAAGTTTTCAGCTGTTAGTTTTATAAGAAACTGTCATGCTGTCTTCCAAAGTGGCTGCACTATTCTGCACTCTGAGTAGCCACGAGTGCATGTTCCTGTCCCTCCACATCCTCAGCAACATCTGCTGGTCTCTGTGTTCTGGATTTTGGACACTGTGTTGTTGTTGTTTTCGGTCACTCAGTCATGTCTGACACTTTAAGACCTCATAGACCAGCATGCCAGGTCTCCCTGTCCCTCACCATCTCCTGGACACTGTGTAGTGGTATCTTATTACTGTTTACTTTCTAACACTTCTAAATATGCCACGCCTAAAGACAGAAAAAGAGATGAGAACACAGTATCACCTATTTTTAAGATGTCTAACACAGAAAATAATTCAACATTTCCTTCATCCACATGTGAAAACATTTCATGCCTGTTTCTACCCACCTGCAGAAGTTGCGGGGAACAGAGGAAACAACTGCGGCTTGGGGAACGGCAGATCAGGTCTGAACACCGCTCTGCTAGGCGGGTAACCTTGGACCATTTGTCTAATCTCCCTGATCCTGTTTCTAGTCTATAAAAAGGAGGTTAGGCAGGCTGGGCTTCCCCAGTGGCTCAGCAGAAGAGAATCTGCCTGTCAATGCGGGAGACGCAGGAGACACGGGTTCGATCCCTGGGTCAGGAAGATGCCCTGGAGGACGAAATGGCAACTAACTCCAGTATTCCTGCCTGGTGAATCCCATGGACAGAGGAACCTGGCAGACTACAGTCCATGGGGTCACAAAGAGTTGGAGATGACTGAGCGCATGCGTGCACACACACACACACACACACACACACACACACACACTAAGCCCAAGTTTTCCAAAGTCCATAGCAAGTTGATAATATTCTTCTAACAAAGCAAAGAAAACTTTACAATTAGCAATAATTGTGCCTCGGATAAACCTCATTGGCTACGATACTGCCACTGCGCAAAGCTAAGAAAACTTTACAATGAAACACACTAAAAAATGTGCCCAGCACAGACTCGACCACTAGGAATGATGAACAGCATTTTCCAGAATTGCTCTTGCCTTAACTGGCCACAGCTGCTCTGACAATTTCATGTTACCTCCTCCAGAGAACACTCTTAACAGTGATAGCGCAGGCACAAGTGTTCCTCAGATAGCAGAGGCTTTGTTAGACTGGCCACATTTGAAGGATATTTTCTCTCCTACAGGAGTATTGCGACGCTCCTTTCTTATAAACCATTCTGACTAGAGCATAATGCTAATATAACAGGACTCATCATGGAACCTCTGCCCTAATCTCTGTGGAAACATCAAGGAAACAGCAAAAGGAGTCAATTTCTCCCAGCCATCTGATTAACATGCTGAAGATATATTGGATTCTAATAGTCCTAAATGTCCACATTTAGGACATTCCTGAATTCTAGTAGTCCTAAATGTATACAAACCAAACATTTTCTATACTGTAAAACATCATCATTATTTTAAAGGTATCAAAATTACTGACCTTGAGAAAAAAATTAATAGCTTATAGAAAAACAGAAACTCTCACCATGGATGATAAGAATATAAACTGACCTAATTCTTTGGAGAAAAATTGGTGATATCTATAAATGTTTTCTATTTTCAAACCCTCAATCCCAGCAATCTATCCTATGAAATACTGTCAAAAATGCAAGAAGTTATATGTACAAGAATTTTAGGCCAGCATTATTTTTAATAGCAAAAAAACAATATAACTGTCCTTCGATACAGAAAAACTAATTTATGGTATTTGTCCTAATGAAAGCTACATGGCTATTAAGTAGAATGAAGCACATTTTATATGAGTTGACCTGGAAAAAGTCAATGCCAAAAATCACATTGTAGCACATGTATCACATGCTTCTGTACTTGAAAAAATGAATAATAATAAATTACTATAAAAATCTTATGTATATGTTCTGCATATATTTGTATATGTACAGAGAAGAGTGTGCAAGGCATGAAAACCAACTGTTAACAGTGGTTATTTCTGGAGAGTGAGTGATGATGGGGAAGAGAAAAAGACATTCCATTTACTTATATTATTCACTTAAATGTTGATTTTATGAGCATGACCATGTTTTAATTTTTCAAAGAAAGGAAAATGCCCAATCTTTTAAATGCCCCTTACCTTCAGTCAGCTGTTCCAAGGATCCTCTTGAAAGAAGACTTGAGAAAGACTCTACAACTGTGCATTTCTTCCTGTATCTGCACAGAAGAAGTAGAAGAGATGAGAAGTAGAAAGAAAAAAGTAATAAATCAAGCTCATTTTCATTTCACATCCATTTCAGTTGTAATCTCACCGAAAGGTCACCAGAAACAGAACTCCAAACCCTAAAATCTGCAGGGTAGAGACCACCGTTTTGAAACCTGCACACCCAGTTCCCAGCACTGGCAACCTGTGGGCATTTAATACAAGCTCACTGAACATGTTTATGTGTGTGGACAAACCTACATACTGGGAGCTTTCCTGGTAGCTCAGTCGGTAAAGAAACTGCCTGCAGTGCAGGAGACCCAGGTTCAATCCCTGGGTCAGGAAGATCCCTTGGAGAAGGAAATGGCAACCCACTCCAGTATTCTTGCCTGGAGAACCCCATGGACAGAGAAGCCTAGCCAGGGTACAGTCCATGGGGTCGCAAGAGTCGGACACGACTTAGTGATTAAACCAAACCAACCAATACTAACTCTGTCATGCCCTTTCCCTGATCTCTATGGCTAAAATCAGGGTTTTTGTGGTTAAGGGTCACTTCACCACTGGTTAAGAATGGGGTTAGAGTGCAGTGTTTGGAAACTCTCTTCATTTGAGGGGCTAGAAACATAATTACAAGAGGGTATAATTTCACTGTTAAAATTCACCAATGCTAATTAACAGCTTCTGCTAGAGGCTTCATATACACACAAAACTGAAACTCCATGTCATTTTCACCAAGCAAAACTGTTCAAATATGTCCATTTAGGCAACTAAAGACCCGCTTCTGCATTTACAGCATTTCCCACATAAAAATGCTCCTTGGTGGGCCTGGAGTACCAGGCCAACAGGTAGTACCTAATCTCTCCACCAGGGGGACCCCAAGAGATGCTTGCTGCTAACCCCACTGAAATCCTCAGCACTTCTCCGTAGCTCAAACACCAAAAAGAAAAGAGGAAGGTATAGATGCCATGTGCTCAGCCACACCAGCATCATAGGATAATTCCTTAGGGGAAATATTTTTAATCTCTCACAAAAGTACAGGAGGCCAGGAAGCTCTGATGCCCTAAGTCCTTTTCTATAACCATGGCCAACTTCCAACAGAACTCTCAGTGAAGCAGAGAACATCCATTTTTGTAACACAGACAGAAAAGTTTTTAGGCATATCTCAAGTATTTAATTAGTCAGCTCATACTTTTGGCAGGTTTGTAAGGCGTCCTTCATGGCAGAAATGCCGTTTTGGATGTCCTGTTGCTCGAAGGTCATGACAGCCTGCAACACCACAATGGTACTGTAGCCCAAGGCATGATACATGCTCTCCTTAGCCCTGGGAAGAACATGGAAATGACTGCATTTCAATTCAACTGAAAAGCATTCAGGTCTCATCTGACAATAACCATAAGAAATTCTAGTTCATCCATGGCTTGACTTTCACAGTAACGACTTTTACTCCTGCACCATGATCACTGAAATAACGTGGACTATGAAAGACATGCCCCCAAAAAACTCAAGCACTGGGGACTTTCCAGTTCAAGTCCAGGCAGGCAGCAGGAAACTTGACAGGTTGAAGCAGAAAGCGACATATGCTTTTCCCTGTTTGAGCACAAGGGGGCAGCCTGCTGACTCATTTCTTAGAAAATGCTTCTAAGCAATCCTAATTTTTCCCAGTTGTACAAGAAGCAGTCCTTAGCTCTGAAATAAGTGTAAAATAAAAGCCATTGAAAATATTATTTTGTGACAGAGAAATTATGAAAGATAAGGTTTATTTAAAACCATCCCCTCCCTTCTCCTAGGCAGAGGCCGTGAGGAAGCAAGATCTGGGCAACCAGTTAGGTCAGCCACAAAGGGCCGAGACAAAAATTCATGGTAGACCTCTTACCAAATATCATCTCATTATCTAGGAATCCTGATTAAAGCTCTTGATGATTCATATTATCAGTAAGAACTGCTTCAATTCTTGAGGACATTTAGTCTCAACAGATGGTACAACCCAGACTCTCAGGCTGTGAAAACCTCACTATGTCTTTCCTCAAAACTTCTCAAGCTATGTTCATTAGTTAATTATAAGATTTACAATATTAACGTGCGGTTTTGTTTTTAATTAACATACAATATACAACAGCCTGCTGCTCTGCAAAACAGATACAATCCACGTTATTCCTTCCCCACCAGAAAGAGTCTAAACATCCTTTCAGAATCTGCAGTTAGTCCCAAACAGTGAGGGCACTGCTGATTCAAAAAAGAAAACAAACAAACAATATGCAAGGAATAAGAGCAACCCAATGTAAATCAGTAATTGTGGTTTTTAAACATCACCTTTTTTTAAAAAATTCTGTATTGAAGTATAGTTGATTTCCAGGGGCTTCCCCGGTGGCTCAGGGGTTAAGAATCCACATGCAATGCAGGAGCCACAGAAGACTTGGTTCGATCCCTGGGTTGGGAAGATCCCCTGGAGGAGGAAATGGCACTCTACTCCAGTATTCTAGCCTGGGAAATCCCATGGACAGAGGAGCCTAGTAGCTACAGTCCATGGGGTCGCAAAGAGTTGGACACAACTGAAGCGGTTTAGCAGACAGCACACATGCATAGCTGATTTACAATGCTGTGGAATTCTCACATTTCAAACCAAAAGTTCTTCCAAGGGGGAAAAAAAGTATTTGAGTGGGAGAAAAAAAAAAACAAAAAATATGTTTAACAGTGAAACATTCAGAAAGATCAGAGGATATAAAACTAGACTAAATATAAAATCTGGTTGTTTACTTTCATTCCATATTATGACCAGTTTGGGTGTCAGTGGAAGAGGGGAAAAGGAGACTTTTTGAATAAAAAACACAGGAGACAGGCAGGAAGAAGAAGAGAGGGGAAATAAGGAGAGAATGACTGGCAGAGAAGGAGGGAGAGAGAAAGAAAGATGGACACAGAGACAGAAGATGATCTGAAGGACAGACAGATATCTGAAGACTAAACAAGACAAAGGGGAAAAGGTGGCAACAGGCAAGGTAGAAAATGTGAGTGTTGGATGGAGGCATCACTGGGCAACTTCCTTAGGCCAGGGGCTTCATCATCTATTTTGTTGTCTGTTCCTAACCTCTGAAATGCTAACTGATTGCAACTCATCTAAATCTCAGAGTTTAATGTGCCTCAGTAAGCACATTACTTTAAGTCCCATACATACGAACCTTTAAGTTGAGAACTTTCAAAGATTCGAACGTGCGTTCTATCAACATCAGGAATCAGTAAAATTTCAGCTTGCCCTCCATCTCCTATTTCTGATTATTTTTTTAGCTCTGTCATTGCCCACCTCCTCTCCCTCCTCCAGGCAGTAATTCTTCTTGCCTGGTCACTGGATGCCAGCCCCTGTATGCCATCTGTTGTACTGTACTACTGTACTTTTCAAGGGACTGCACTGTAAGATTTAAAATGTTTTATTTTTGTGGTTTTCATATATTATTTGTGTGAAAAGTATAAATGTATTACAGTACGGTATTATATAGCCAATTGTGTTAGTTGGGTACCTAGGCTAACTTTGTTGGACTTATGAACAAACTAGACTTATGAACACGCTCTCAGAATGGAATCTGTCTGTATGTAAGGGACTTACTGTAATTTCTAAGAATCAAAGTCAATGACCAGAGTCACATCACCCTCCCCACCCTACTGACTCCTCAAAGCAAAGAGTCCCACTCCCGTGCCCACAAGATAACCATCTTGAAATTATTATATGAGGTCTAAGTTTCATCCAGGTCAGTGACTGTGTTTGAAGGCATGCTGCTGCTGCTAAGTCACATCAGTTGTGTCCAACTCTGTGAGACCCCATAGATGGCAGCCCACCAGGCTCCCATCCCTGGGATTCTCCAGGCAAGAATACTGGAGTGGGTTGCCAGTTCCTTCTCCAGTGCATGAAAGTGAAAAGTGAAAGTGAAGGCAGGAGGTAAGCTTATTCCTGGCAAGCTCCAGTCACACTGTACAGAGGGGCACTAGCCTAGGAAGAAGGCTAAGCATAGGTTTTCCTGCCACATCATCAGAATTGATAGGTACTAGTCACTGAAATGGGGCTTCCCAGGTAGCTTAGTGGTAAAGAATCTGACTGCTAATGCAGGAGATGCAGGTTCGACCCACAGGGTTGGGAAGATCCCCTGGAGGAGGAGATGGCACGCCAGTCCAGTATTCTTGCCTAGGAAATCCCTTGGACAGAAGAGCCTCATGGGCTACAGTCCATGGTGTCACAAAGAGTCAGACATGACTAAGCCTGCACATGACTGCTGTTAATTGAAATGAAACTGATGTATCACATAAATCAGGAGTCCCAAGAATATTTTCATTACCTTGAATTTCTTTTTAGCCTCCAAGATTAGCATATTTGAGTTCTTCCCATGTCCATTTCAAAGGAAACTTTTCTCAAACATATTTAAGTTCAGAGGAATACCCATAAAAATATTTCACTGAAGAAAACCAAATGAAACTCTACACTACTAATAAGATGACATGATTCGAACAAGTATAGAAAAAGACAGAAGAAAGAATCAGAAATGCTCCAATGATTAAAGTTGACAAGACAAGTTTCTTAACTGGATATTAAAACCAATCAAAAGAAGTCTCAACTAAATAGCTTATAAATATTCAGATGGAAATGTAGAAAAATTAACTGAAAAGTATGACATCAGAGACAGAATCATCAAAAACACATGAAAAACGTATTTTATACAAAAGAAAATTAATTACCATGGTCGAAGCAATTCTAAGGCATCTGTAAATTTGTTACTTAGAAATAAGTTCAATGCCATTGCACATTCTTCGAGGCCACTCCTAAGATCCACCTTAGTTGACAGTGACCTAAAGATCAAGAAAAAAAAAATACACAGAATTTTTACAGTTTTTACTTGTAGCAAGTTATCACAGGGAGTGTGTGGGTATGTACACTTTGGAGACAAAAAGACAGACTAGAACTCTAACTCTGCCACTTACTAGTTGTGTCTTTAACCCTTGAAACTTGACTTTCTCATCTGTAAAATGGGAATACCACCACCTACTTAATGGGACTGTTTTAAGAATGGAACCAATTGACAATTAATGCTCTTAGCAGCCACTTAATAAATAATTAATTACCCCCATCACTTCAAAAAGCACAAGCATAGGCACTATCTCTATTCATGAGGGGAAGCAGAGGTTATTTTGTTTTAGTTTGATTATGTAGGGGTAAGAATGTACTTCAGGCTTCCCAGGTGATGCAGTAAGTAAGGAATCTACCTGCCAATGCAGGAGACTCAGGTTCGATCCCTGGGTCAGGAAGATCCCCTGGAGGAGGAAATGGCAATCCACCCAAGTACTCTTCCCGGGGAAGTCCCACGGACAGAGAAGTCTGGTGGGCTACAGTCCATGGGTTCGCAAAGAGTTGGACACAACTGAGCATGCACGCACGCACTTAAGAATGTGGTTGGTGAAAAACTGCATCGTCCAAAATCTAAAGAAGACTCCACCAGGTTATTTGTTTTTGCCTCCACAGGAGCTATCTTACAGCTTTGTAAATTATATATAACAAATAGCAAGGCAAAATAACTGTTGTCTACAGGTCTGTGTTTAAAGAGAGACAACAGGCCCAAGATGGAGTCCCTTATGCTAACACTCACCAGGACCTAGCCAGTTTCAATCTTCTCCAAGAATGTGACCTATAACCAGTCAACCTGGAATATCCTGAGCAGCACTAGGAAGTCCACTGAAAGGCCCCTCCCACTCCCCCTTAGGAGAGAAACCTAGCCTAAAACAATGCATTCTTGGCTAACAACTTCCTTCTTTCCCCTGTTTCCTCTCTGCCTTGAAAAACCTTTCCTTTCCTGCAACCTGAAGGAGCTCCTTTCAAATGCTAGTTGGGATTCAGCCCAATTCACAAAGAGTTTAATAAAGACAATCAGATCTTCAAATTTATGCTATTGAACCTGTTATTTAACACATGTAAATTCTGTCCCAGCCTTCAATTGACTTCCTGCCTCCACTATAGAAGAAGCCAGTTTTGCCTGAATTTGCACATTCATTTCAACATTCCTTTACTCCATATAAATTTGTGCTGTTTTGATATCGCCTTCAAATCTGTTTTAACATCTGCCCAGTTCCCTCCCTGATTAATGAGTTAAGCAAACTGTTTAACATCTGTTCATGTTTACATCTGTGTGAGTCATAATTTTACCCTTTTTAGAAAATCATGTAAACCACTTATGATTGACAGAAAATCCACCCTTTCAAACAAGAGCCATCTCTAGAAGTGTTGCAGAGAAGCCAATTCGGACTCCATGTTGGAAACTGTTTCTTTGACTCGCTTTTTCATTGTTTTTGTTATTATAATCATACGTAGTAGCCTGCCTCAGAGGACCCTGCCCCTCTGCCTGACTGTAAACTAAAGAGCCTTTGTTCAGCTCACAGAGAGAGAATCTGACTCTGCCCACCTGTGAACAGAAGGGATTAATACACTCCTTCCAAAGGCTGACCCTTCCTGGATACGTTCTGCAAAACTGAAGATTCTTTTTACTTTATTTCTTCACTGTCTCTCCCTCTACATTCTGTCCTTTGACTTTAGTTCCTCATATGCTTCTCTCTCTCTCTCTCTCTCTCTCTCTCTCTCTGATTTAATAAAAAGAACCTGGCATCTAGGCTCCAAAAAGATGGTTACTTTGAGACACTAATCTGCCATCTCCTTGGTCAGCTGGCCTTCCGAATAAAGTCATTCTTGCCTCAACACCTTGTCTCTCAGAGTCATTGGCCTGTCAAAGCAGAGTTAGCTTGGACTCGGTAAAAAAAAAATGTTTTGTGTAACATTTCTTAACAAGAAAATAGGTCAGTAAGGAGACAAGCAGTACAATGCTTCATTTCAAGGCGCCCAAAGTTGAACTTCTGAGCAACCAGTCCTCTCCATACTCACTTTTTAAGCAAGAAAACAAAATCCCACTTCAGTCACTCATCTTCCAGAAGCGGGTTCCGAAATTGCTACAGGGACCCACCCACTCTCTGCTCCAAGGGCTTCTCATGGCTGGTTCCTTCTTGTTTTTCAGATCTCAGTTCAAAAAGCAGGGAATCAGAGTGCCTTGATGATCCCAGCCCATCTTATCTCCCTGTTTTGTATGCTTCATACCTCTTATTACCATCCAAAATATCTCGTGCCTATATTGGTGGACCTGCCTTTGGCTACCTTTTCTCTCTAGGATATAAATGCAAGGAGGTTGTTTTCATCACTGCTGCACCCCGAGGGCCTTTGCTTGTACCTAGAACATAGTAAATCTGAGTAAGTAAGTACTGTTGACTCAGTAAGTATTGCTGAGTGGGCAGGTGAGGGGAACAGAAATGTTGCTCTGGGTAGAGACAAAATTCCTCATGCCTGGGACCTGAAAGCATCTCTCCTCCAGGATGGTGCAGACAGGAGACGAGCTCTTGGAAAACGAGTGAGCTGCGGAGCTCAGAAATTGTGATGGTTAACTTTATACATCAATTTGAATGAGTAAGGGATGTCCAGATAGCTGGTCCAATGCTACTTCTGTGTCTGTGAGAGTGTTTCTGAAAGACATTAGCCTTAGAATTCGTGAACTGAGTAAAGCAGATGGGCTTTCCCAACGTAGGTGGGCATCAGTCAATCTGCTGAGAGCCAAAACAGAACAAAAAAGGCAGAGGAAGGATGAATTCGCGATCTCTTCCCTCTTTGAGCTGGGACATCTATCTTCTGCTCTCCTGTGCTCCTGGCTCCCGGCTCGTCGGGCTTGAACTGAATTGCACCACTGGCTTTCCCGGTTCTGCAGCTTGCAGACAGCAGATCCCAGGACTTCTTGGCCTTGATAACCACATGAGCCAATTTCCATAATAAATGAATCTCTTTCCCTCTCCCTCAATCTCTCTTGATATATCGCTCCTATTGGCCTTGTTTCTCTGAGAAACCTAATACTAACAAACCTCTCAGGAAGATTCTTCACAAGTTGCTTAGCACGTCCCATATGAGTCCACCATAGAATTCTGTCAGTGTTACTTCCTCAGCATCTCTTGGATTCATCCTGTGACACCTCCACTATCTGCCAAGTGAGCAGTCATTTGCTGCCTAGTGTCTACAGACATATCTCTTCCCTCACTTTCTCCCCCCACCTCCCCGCTCTCCCAATTAAATCTCTACCCAAAATTCATTCAACTAACATTAGAGAGTTCTAACTATGCACCAGGCACTCTTCCAGGTTTTGGAATACAACACTGAACAAGACCCACAGGGTCCCTGACTGGAAGCCCTGTCATTCTCCTGAGGAGGGACAGCAGACCGAGGGAAACCAGTAACCCAGATGACCTCAGCCTGCAATAAGTCATCTGGAAAAGAAACTGCTGGGGAAGCAGGTGGGATGAGGCTCAACATTACAGAGGATGCTCATAGAAAGCTCTCAAAGAGGGGACATCCGAGTGCTACAATATGGGAATAGCTAGGCTGAGGGGAGAAGAGAGATTCTAAACTGGGCACGTGGTGAGCATGGCAGACAGTGAGGGGAAATGAGGATAGAAATCAGGCAGAAACCAGAAGCCACAGGGGCAGAGAAGGTGGATTTTACTCAAAGAGCAAAAGGAAATTTCTAGCTCTGAAACCCCCACTCCCTTTCTCATCACCCCTTCCCTTCAACCAGTAGGTTTTCCAGTGTACCTCTCACCTGTTCTCTTAATTCCACTCCCACCAGTTCTCTCAGTACACCTCATCTTCTGTTACCAGGAAATGGGCTGGAAACAGCTACTGGTCCCCGTGCCATACAAACAACCACCTGCGCATCTCAGCTGGCCACACTGGCCCCTGGGGGGATGTATTTGCAAGCCCAGCTTAGAGGCAGAAACGAACGCAGGTGTTCGGCACCTCCCAACACAATGAACTCAGCCCTTCTTAGTGCTTTACTAACCTGCTCATGTGAAACTAAGCCTCCTTCCCCTCCAGAATATCGGTCCTACCGTGTGTTCTACAAGGCATGACCGAGACAGCAAGTGTCACTTCGACTAGAACTTCTCAAAGACATCTTGGGGTCAGTGGTTCTGTCCACTTCCGCCGCCACCACATTAGCTGAGAGCTTCATCACATAAAGTCTGAATTCTGAAATAGTCTCCAAAAATCCCCCCTGATTCTACTTTGATTAGGTGGCTCTCAAACTTTAGCATGCATTCAACTCACCTGGCACTACAGGTAAAGAACCCGTCTGCCAATGCAGGAGACCTAAGAGATGCGCGTTCAATCCCTGGGTCGGGAAGATGCCTTGGAGGAGGAAAAGGCAACCCACTCCAGGATTCTTGCCTGGAGAATCCCATGGACAGAGGAGCTTGGCAGGCTATAAGCCCAGGGGTTACAAAGAGTCAGACATGACTAAAGTGAATTTGTACACACACATAACTCACCAGAGGGCTTGTTAAAATATGCTGCTCAGCTCCGCCACCAGAGTTTCTGACTCAGTAGGGCTGTGGTGGGCCCAGCAAGTTCCCAGACAATACTATTCTGCTTTAATTCACCCAGGATACCACTCTCAGACTGTTCTTCCTAAAACAGAAGTTCAATCATACTACCCCCTTAGATTAAGGACCTCAAAGTGGCTGCTCACACTTATCACATAAAGTTCAAACCCTTCTGCCCTGCCCACCACACCTGTCCAATCAGACTAGAGTGACAAGTAGTACTTGTCACTATTGAAAAACAGCCAAGTATCTCCAGCAAGCTTGTGACCATGGCACCCTCCTCCTCAAGCCTGATGTGATGTAAGAAAACCCCTGGGCTGGCGATCAGAAGTCATCATGGTCATTCTCAAGCTGTAACTTTCAGAAAGTCACTTCATAACTGCTTCTGCGTGTCCACAGATTTGAAGCGATGACCACAAAACTTCACAAATGTCTGAATGAAACTTTCGTTACTAGTGCCCTTAAGGACACAGATTAATAACTCGAACTCAAAAAATTTCAGAGTTGCAAGGCATTTCAGTTAGCCATGTGCTCCTCTGAGCATCAGGATCCTTCTACGGAAATCCTTCCTGCCTCTTTTAAATTGAAGTATAATCAAAAGAAACCATGGTTGTCAACGATTTTGTGAGGCTAAACAAATGAGAGGAAATATAACCAGGGAGGCAAATGGGCTCATTAAAGATGCTCTGGCCAGGAAATGAGAAGACAGAGCAGCAGGATACAATTCAACATTTCCTGGCTGTGGCTCCTTGGGTATGTCACCTGTCATCCAGGACTGCTAGCTTGTGAAATAGAGACTACGTTCCCTCCCTGACTACCACACAGCTTGGTATGGAGGAGCAATACATTGGGTGTTGGTAGAACAAACAGTCACATGAGGAATAAGTACTACATGAGCTAAGGTACTATTATTCTCTAGGCGGTCTAACTACCCACATACTTGCTCAATTTTGGAACACTGCTCAGCTTTGCAGATGTCTCTCTGGGCTGTTTCACAATAAATTTACAAGTACTTATTTTTACGAATGCATTAGAAAACCTGTTGATTAAAAGGCAGAGTAGGAGTTTTCATTAATTTTTTTAAAGAAAAATCTTAATTTTTAAATGAAACCTATGAATGCAATACTGGAATACACCTTTACACTATTTCTTACATTTCCCTTCTTTTTCCTCCTTTATAGATCTTTAACTTCTTCCTCTCTGCCCCCTTTCCAACTCAGAAACATGAACAAACCTCACTCATTTCTACTTAAAAATCAGCAAAAAAGATAACTTTCTCTTGATTCTGTTTTTCTCCTGAACCTCTCCCACTCTTTCTCTTCATGGACAAGAGCTTCAAAAAGGAGTTGATTCTCACTTTCCCTACTTCTCTCCTCCCATTCATCTTCAGCCACTACAGTTTTGCTCCTGCTGCAATTTCCTTGAAACCGTCAAAGCTAAAGGTCTCTGATGACCTAACTACAAATACAAAAGATGCTTTCCAGTCTGTATCCATATAGACCTCTTTACAGTACCTGGCTCTGCCGACCTTATTCCAGAACTCACCTCTCCCCAACCCACTGCGCATACTGCAGCCACCATCTCACAGAATCTTCCTGTCCCTCAAACCTCCATAGCTCAGCATGCTATCATTCCATTAGCTGTTCTTTCATTGTTCATTCATTCACAGGGCTCCTTTCTCCACTCTCATATGTTTTACTCTCTCTTAGAAAGAGCATGTACAGTTCATGCCTTCAACAGCTACACGTATGTTGAAAATTCCCAGTCTACTGATCCAGCCCAGATCTCTTATCTCTGACTGCTACATACACCCTTTATTTATTCATCATTGCTTTCAGTAATATTTTTTTAATTTATTTTATCTCAGCTTTCAAACTCAGCACTATAAACGTTGAAGCAGTGGTTACCTAGGAAACTACTGAATCAGTTGGAGAACAATTATGAGGGAGGAATACATATTTCTGAAGATAGCTCAGATTTCCATAAACAGAGACATATGAAATAAAAAAGTAATGTAGAAAATAAATGCCTTCAGATCCCAAGGAGTTATTTTCAACTCCATCTCCATTCCTCGATCCTTGGAATATTGCACCCCTTCCTTATATTGTGGGGGTTGAGTCCTAAGAAAAACTGCCAAGTGCACAAGTATTGTGAACACACTCAAAAATAGCTGAAATTTCAAATGGAAAAGCTAAAATACTGACGATGTACTGTATAATTTAAAATTTAATAAGCATGTAAGGACAGATAGAAAGCATTTTTTCATGGTACTAAAGCCTTAAAAGAGTTGTCTTAATAACCAATAAAGGAGCAACTTACATATTCAAAAACAGACAGCTGACTAAAATAACTTTAAAATAGACAGGACGGAATAGTACTTAATCAAACATGATATTACAAAACATATTCAGTGGAAAGGAAAAATGTCATGATGTGCTTCAAAAAGGTAACCAAAGAGTAAAATTAATATGATCCCAATTTAGAAAAAATTATTATTAATCTCTCTATATGAAGAGAAAAAGAAAGAATACACACCAAAAAAAGTTATAGTGATGGTAATACATATTTTATCTCTTCTTTGTGCTTTTCTATATTTCCTGAATTTTCTCTGATAATTTCTTAAAATGCCTTTTTAAGTCAAAGTTACAAGAAGAATATAATAAGAAAAATAATCACAATATTCAATGAAAAACGTTTGACCACACCTATATCCAGCAGCACATGCCTACTGGATATAGCAACGAAATACACCAAAATTCTAACAGTCTGTATTAAAGTGCTCATAATTCCTTCCTCCATCTTCCCCTCCGCCTTCCCAGATGCCTGGCAATATGGTTATATTATTTTACAATAAAATTAGTAGTTAAACAATTTTAAGATAAAAAAGGCCCCAAAGGGAGTTGTGATCCAAGAGGTAAATCTGGTTTTGTTTCAGCTTTTTTATGTAACAGGGCCATCTACTCACTAAATGCCTTAGCATAGCTGTCCTCTTCCTTCCTGGCACCAGGGACAGGTTTTCGGGAAAACAATTTTTCCACAGATGACGGGGGGAAGTGTTGGAATGATTCTCACAAGGAGCCTGCAGCCTAGAGAGCTCGCAAGCGCAGCTCATGTAGGGTTCGCGCTCCTATGAGAATTTAATGCTGCCGCTGGCCTGACAGGAAGTGGAGCTCAGGCAGTAATGCAAGCTCCAGAGCGCGGCTGTAAATACAGATGAAGCTTCTCTCATTCACCTACTGCTCACCTCCTGCTATCTGGCCTGGCTCCTAACAGGCCATGGACTGGTACCAGTCCATGACCCCGCCGTTGGGGACCCCTGCCCGAGCAGCTCAGAGAAGCCTTCCCTAATTTGTAAAATGAGCACTACCCCTGCCCAGACCTCTCCTCACCTTGCGTGTGCATGCTAAGTCGCTTCAGTTGTGTCCGACTCTTTGAGACACCATTCCTATTGTCACATCGACATCACAATTTACCAAAAGGTTGGAGTGCTCTCCCCAGCCCCCCAGGAACACCCACACCCCCTTCCTGACCTTTTCGCATGAGACGTTCGGTGCTGTCCCGGTGCCTGTTTTGAATCGAATGATGAGAAGTGCTGGCTGCTTGTTGCCATATCTACACGAGAAGGCCTGTTGATAAAAAGGCAGTGAGGTTTTCATTTCTTTCTCTTACAGGAAAAATCTACATATATTCAAGAACACAACACAATCCCTTCAGTTATTGATAATATCTCACCTCCATTTCTTACCAATTTTGCAAATCAAATAGCAAAATATACTCAATTCCAAAGTGAATATTCCTGAAATACAGCCGCAATAAAATAAACGTATTTTTCTTTTCATTCCAGTCCAACAAAAAAGAAATTCATGAAATCGGCCCCTCCCAAAACTCTCCACCCAAATGTAACATTGTAGCTTGTATATATCCTTCCAAATCTTTTCCCATGTGTATCTATATATATATATATATATATATATATCTAGTCTTCTTAATTGAAATGGAATATTATTGTAGGGGAGGAAAGAGTTTCCATCAACTCTCTTAGGGTCCCTGGCTGGGTCTGAAAATCAAACTGACAAAGACAAATCAACAGGACAAAAGCATAAAAATGTATAGTTATACACATACATGTGAATCTCCAGAAGAGACTGAAGAAGACCCAAAAGGTGACCAGAGCAGAAATCTTTTATACCTTTCAGACAAAGAAACAATATATTTGTGAAGAATTGGCAGGACAAATGGTAAAGGGCTAGGAGTAAATGGTAAAGATGTAACTATGAAGATAAGGGTTAATCTAATGTTTTGTCTGCAGACTCTCTGAGCTCTAAGAGTCTGTCTCCAGTAAAAAGAGAATTTAGGTCCTACTTTTGGGCAGAAAGAGGGAATTTTTTCAGTTTTTACTGCTTCTTAATTGACTTCAACTCAAAATGATGTTTATGTCAAAGATGCATACTCATTTCAGGATAGCATATTTGGTTTCCTTCATTATATGCTTAATTTATCCTGAATCCGTTCTTCTCAACACAGAGTTGCTCATCCACGGTAACTGTCCACACAGCAATCTACTGAATAGAGGGAACATAATTTGTTACCCATTCCTCATTTTGAGGCATGTTAGTTCCTCCCAATATTTCACAATTACAAACAATACTAAAATAAGCCCCTTTACTCACTTTCCTGATTATTTCTTAAGGATAAATTCTGGAGGTAAAAGGCGTGCATTTTGTAAAAAATCTTACATTTAAAAAACTGCCTATTTCCCATGATATATACCCCACAGAATGTTGAGGTAACACAGAAAATGTGAAGACCAATCTGGTTTGCAGAATCTTAGGCCACTTTTTGACCCACATCTACCCTCACAGACACACATGGAGGCAAGTCCTCTGGAGAGAAGGGAACTTCCACGGAGCTTAAGAATAAGTCCTGCCCTGTGTATAACAGAATCTCCAACCTCCCACTGACGGTTCACCTTCCCGCACACAAGCTATAGAGCAGAGAGGGAAAAGTTACTGACCATTCCTGTAGGAAAGCTTTTTCTTTCTGTGTTTTTAATTCTAAAATGTCAGTGCCTTTATTGTAGATTAAGTAGAGTTTGATCATATTCTACCTTCTGACTTCCCAATACCTGGTAATATTTTATATCCAACATTCATCTTTTCTTGGACGTATCAAGTTCCCTAAATTTTATACATCAAATTAAAGGAAATCAAGGTTCTTGTTACTTGAGTGGCTAGCTGTGGGTGGTGAGAGACAATAAAATGTCAAGGATAAGAGGAAATGTATCTTAAAGAAAGGTTATTTTCCATCACAAGAACCTTTTACCAGAAGAATCAAGGAAGTGCTAAGCACTCAGATAAACCAGACTCCAGGGCAGAGACTGGCATCTCTGTTTACAAGCAAGGAAGGAGAAAAGACAGATTCAAAGGGCTGTCTAATCTTTTGAACCATTCTTGCCTATCTGTTCCCTTATAGGTTCATTTATAAGGGCTAGAAAAACATGTTCTTTAAAATGTAGATTAAAATGCCCCCCTATTTGTCATCTGCCTTACCTTGAATTTTAACGTTCTCCCCAATATTGAAATTTTTATTTAATCAAAACTAGTCATTTCCCTTTAATATTTCTGATTTACAAGACATACTTAGAAAAACTTTCCCTCCACAAAGATTATATAACATAATTTTCCATGTTGCTTACTTTCTAAATATAAAATGTTGATCCATTCATAATTTAAGTATATGCTATAAGATAATGTGTTCATTTTTCTTATTCTTTTGCCATTTTTTCCAAGATAATTTTTAAAAACCCATATCTTTACCCCAACAACTTGACATACTATAAATATACATATAAAACACTGAATTAATTAAGTCCTGTTAAAATCAAGTCTGCTGTGCCAGGTAAAGGGTGCATGTTTCAAAGATATAACTATAGCATCTTTATCAAGCACGAAAACACTTGGATTTATCAGAACTTAGTAATTATTAAAAACAATACTAGGGTTTTTTAATTTTTCTGAGGTAGAAGAGTTTAGTTTTTTATGCTTTTATATATATATATGTATATGAAGTTCCAGACATTCTACAGTATTTTAAAATTTATATTAATAGCACAATAAGTACATCATGCTACAGATTTTTTTTAAATAATCGTATTTAGATCTAATTCACTCATTTAAACAACTATCTAGTATTATGGAGAAAATGGTTTAACATGCAGGTATATCTCGAATCCACTTGGTGTACAGTGTGATCTGAACTTAAGTATTTCCCCTATGCATAGGCAATTATACCAATAGTAATGAATAGCTTGTCCTTCAGCTATTCATTAGATTCTAAATAATACAAAAGAAAGATTGTATGCCTGCTCAATCAGGCATTGAGGTAGGCTCAATTGTATGCCTACCATCTTAGAGCACAAAAAGGCCCACCCAAGGAATATTTCATTTTATAGGGGATATACCTTTGATTTGTTATTTTCTATACATTAGGGTCTATATTTTATAAAATAATACATTAATTTATAGATTTTTTTGGTCTGACACATATGCAAATACTTTGATAAGGTTATGGTTTTTTCGCCTTGTAGGAAATTAATCAGTTTTGTATATTTGTATATAACAAATCTTATTCAAACATTCTTTCTTCAGTTCCCCCAAATGCTCTTGGAAAAATTTTAACCATCTCGCTGATTTTGTCATTGATAAGTAAATCTTTGACATGTGTTCATGTTATACTCATCACACTCCAACCTGCTGAACGACACTGCAATCTCTAACCCGGGGCAAGTTTTCATACATGCATAAAGCAGTTTCAGGCACTCTTTTGATCCATTCACATATTTGCCTCTGTTTGCACCAGTCACACAATTTTCTTTTTCATGGCTTTCTTATATATGCCAATGGCCAAATCCTCTACTACATTAAATGCTCTTTGAGAGGGTGTTGGCGGGAGGGGCGGGTCTTGGGCTGCTATTGCAATTTCATTCTTATTTATTAATTTTAGAATCAGCTATTGTAAAGTTACAAAAGAAGTCTGCTGAGTTTTGAGTGGGACGTCATTACATTTTCAGAGATTTTACCGAGAACTGCTATCTTTACAATATTATATTTTCATACCTATACACATTTATCTAAGTCTTCTCTTATTTTCTTCAATAAAGGCAGGAAATATACATAAGACACTGTACTAAGGTACATGCACCCTCGCAAAGATGCCATGCTAGATGTTCCCTATGTTGCTTTAGTTTTAGAATGTGTGCCACCAAAGTAAGCACAGCTATGAAAAACTTAATTGAACACAATGACTTGCCTGTTCCACTTTTGAGCAAAACCTAGATGTTATGCCCAGATTTTAGAAAAAATGTATTTTTAGCTAAAGAAAAATCTTGTTATTTGGTTTATAGAGGAAAAATATCATATCATATTTCATTTATACTATCATTAGGCTAGAAAATATGTCCTTATCTTGCCCTAATTTTACTGCTTTAAGTTTTTAAACAGCTTTATCGAGACATTATTCACAGACCACTCAATTCACTCATTTGAAGTATACAATCAATTGTTCTTAATATTCATAAATAGTATATCACTTTCATCATTACCTAATTTACATTTTGTCACCCAAAAGATACTCTATATCCATTAGTCATCACTCCCCATTTCCCTCTACCTCTAGTCCTAAGAAACCACTAATTTACTTTATACATGTATAAATTTGCCTTTTCTGGACATTTTATATTAATGATATTAAGTAATATGGTCTTTCATGATTAGTTTTTTTCACGGAGCATAAGGTTTTCAAGATTCATTTGTGTTGTTGTATGTATCAATGTGTCATTCTTTTCTATTGCCAAATAATAATCCATTGTTATAGATATAACACACTTCATTTGTCATTTTATTAGTTGATAGGTATATGGGTATATTTCTACTTTGGGGCTATTATAAATAATGCTGCTATTAACATTCATGTACAAGTGAGAGCTCGACAGAGCTCTCAGTGAGAGAGTCAGGCCATTTTCTAAAATGACTGTGTCATTTTACATTCTTACCAGTAACATATGAAACTTTCAATTTCTCCATATCTTGGACAACACTTGTTACTGTCCATCTTAGGGTGTATTATAGTGTTAGGCAGTTAGAATAGGAAAAAGGAGTCCAAAATGGCAGTGGCTAAAAGACAAAGGGAAAAGCCTGTGAAAAGGGAAAAAAAGAAAAATCAGAGAGCCTGAGTGTTCTGAGACCCTCGGGTGAAACAAACACGCCCTCTTCCTGTGAGCCTTAATTTGCATAGGGCAGGCTTGGGGGGGAGGAGACAAACATATAAAAAGCAGAAGCCAAGCCAGGTTGGGGCCTCTCCTTTGGGGTCCACCTGCACTCATGCCTCCGGCGTGTACTCTTCTTTGTTGCTGAATAAAACCTTAAGCTGTGATCGAGCTGTAACACTGGTCTGCAGCTTCAAATCTTTGTTGCCCAAAGACAGAACTGAGGAAATTACACACGCTCCCAGCAATAGAACCTTGTGGTTTTGACTTGCATTTGCCTAATGACTAATGATACTGAGTAGCTGTTTGGGTACATATTGACCTTTGGAGAAATGTCTATTCAGATGCTTTGGCCATTTTTTA